TGTTATAATTAACAACCAGACATTTTATATTGAAATTCCTAACAGAATGTTTATATAGTAATTTTTGTCAAGTGTTAAGCTTTACATCGATGTACCACAAGTGGTATTTTGTGATACTTTTATGTCATGAAATCCTGTCAGATTCAACCTCTTCAAATCTCTCATGGAAAAAACCTAATATTATTGTACTATTGCATGTAATACGTGCACTATGCACATAATTCTCTTTTTAAATTCGATGCAGGGATTTCTTAGTTGTCGATGAAACTCAGTGATACCTTATCATTCCTCGAGACTCGTGTTAATGACTTTTCTTCTCGCGTTGCATATTTCCAAGCAATATCGATAAGCGAACCCCAACTTATGTCATATTCCTTTTATCAAAACTGCTGTTGTTGACCCTGTTGCCTTTTCTAGTTTAACCGTCCACGACCTCTACTGACATCGTTGAGGACCTGCCCTACGCTTCGTCAAGCACGCGCCTTTATTTGCGTATCCGTGTGAATCGGATCGCTCGTTTCCCATCCGGTTTATTTAAAAATAGTATTAGATAAAAAAACTTTGAAAGTTGATCATTATGATAGTATTTTTGCGATAGGATGATTCAGTTTGTTGTTGGTGCAGTTTATGATATCTGGGAGGAACTATCAAAACTTTGATATTAGAAATTAGTCGTTTGGTAAAAACATTGTTCGTTGGAATCCACAATTAATCATCTTGTATTGAGAATATCTAAGAGGCATTTATATAGTCATTTTCGGGAAAGTTTAAGCATTAATTTGATATACCGTAAGTGTCATTTTGAGATACTTTTCTGTCATGAAATTGTATTGAAAGTTTCATTTTTCAGAATCAGCCATTTGGTAACAGTATTGTTTATTGCAATTGGCGGCTACCCTTTTTGTATTAAAAATCTTAAGGGGGCGTTTGTATAAAAATGTTTCTCAAATTTTAAGCTTTAAATCGATGTATCACAAGTGTCATTTAATGATACTTTTCAGTGATGAAATTACGTTGATATCTTACAACTTTGAATACATTAAAAAAACATTACAAAGTGATCATGCCTTGATTTTTCTGTCCTATTTTTAAACTTCTTTTCCATCACTATGCAACATAGTTGAGGTGTAAATCGATCGATGATATCAAAATTCATTGTTCGCGTGTTGGATAGACAGGAACGGTGAATAGACGATATAATTCAGACACACGAATAGCTGGACGTTTGTAATTAGATTAATGCAGGTGAGTGAACACTTGGGACGCGAAATAGTCGTTATTGGGTTAACGTATTTTTACTCCTGCTAAGCTGAGGATATTGATTTTAGTTAAAACCAGGAAGAGGAGGAGGGGGAGGGGGTGGGCACTTGAATTTTTGAAGTGCCAGCTAAACGAGACACCGCTGCAAATCGATTTACAGTCTCGTTTTGATATCTTTATCTTTCTCATTTTGTATTAATTGATGCGCTGAGATTGTAATTGACTACATTGACAACTTACAGAAAACTTAGTAGGAACTGATTAGACGACGCACCTGGTGCGTCATATTCTATTTTCCCATTACTATTTTTACTTTTTTTTCCTCTTGAATCATGAAGTAAATAAAAAATTTGTTATATTTAAGCTACGAAAAAATTATGTTAAGATTTTATTTATTCAATAAAATGACGAAATTATACTTTTCTCATGATAACCACTTTTGAAAAAAGTGAGCCGGCTGTAGCTTCTCCATTTTTTTATTAAAATAAAATAGAAAAATATTTTTATATAATTTAAGACGTGCACAATGAAATGTACATAACAGATTTTCCATTTACTTTGTGATATTTTTCCAGAACGAATGTTAAAAAATAGTTTTAATTAATATTGGACGACGCACGTGATGCGTCATACACTATTTCTAGTGAATCTCTACTTGCTATATTAAACGAAGGAGAAACGATATAATAACGTAGAATTAAACGCGTGTGGGCTTGTTACCTGGTTATAAAGCGTATGCGTTTGTTTTTAGTGTGGGCATGTGTGTGCCTATGAAACTTTAAAGGGTAATGTCATGCTGTTATGAGCCCGGAAATTTATTGATATCCCGTTAAAAAGTTCACGTTCTTTCTTTTTTTATTTATCGGGGTATTTTCGTGCTGGATAAAAACGAACAATTGATTGCAAAGGGTAGAAAGGAAAACGTACTGATCTTATACACCTACTTGAAGAATTGCAATAAATAATTATAAAATAATAATGAAACTAAATAATATTTAAAAAACGAAAATTGATAATTTTATTACTTACAATTAGAAATAAAAATATAAGAAAATATTTTTAATTTCTTTTCAGGACACCTGGAGTATCGTGTAGGATTTTCAATAAATATAGAAATGACGCAACAAGTGCGTCGTACGCTATTCCAGTATGCATAGCCAAGATGCACCCGGTGCGTCAAAAACAAAACTAAAACAAAATTACAATGATATTGTAAAATATGAAGTGGTATCTATATTTTGTATTTTTCTTTGTTTTTCTTTTCTTCAACCAGCCGTACATTCCGGCGATACTATTATCTCTAGAACGCACAGGAAGTCGCACCATACGCGAGTGTAGTGAAGTTTGTAACGAGATTCGTAGTCGTCCATACACGAATATCATATTAACCCTTTATATTCCGACTTTTGCAAAAAAGGAAAAAAAAATGACATTCCCCCAGAATCCTAAATGTATCACAATGGATATTACGATGTCGCCAGAAAAATTGTCGGTCCTACAACCGATACTTCCCAGGGATACTGTACAGGTGCCATTCAGAGTTCAAGTACGGTCTCTACGGGTATCGTCGTAAGCCAGTATTATGGACCCCCTCCTTGGTATTTAGTTTCCTGACTTCAGGAAAGGCACCGTATCGGCTACACGAATTACACGTGTAAAAGAAAACAGTGGATGATACCTACGGGTCGAGTATACCACCCGCGGATCCTTCGTTCATTCGCAAGGCCCCCGAGGAGCTTTCCTTTTGACGGGCCTTAACAACTTGTAACCGATACCTGTGCCCCCTTCTTTTTTCTCTCTGTCTGCGTAAGGTCTGAATGAAAGGAGGTAAATCGTCGCGCGAATATTGTATACGCGGCCAGGACAACCCACGAGGCACCTTAACCACAATGACGAGGGGTTGGACATAAATCAGATATACGACGGTACTCTAGTAGTGTGCCAGGTATATCCTCCCGTCACAATTGTCCGTCTTAAGCTCATTGTTGAGCATCCCTATCGGTGTCTTCCGAAACACCTGCTTTTTCAGATGATTCCTTTGCTTAGAACGTTCTGTAATCGTTGGGAAACGCAATGCACGAATTAGAAAGCTGGTTAGAAATTGATTAACTCTTGTCGGATGGTAAATATACCATTTTTTTTTTTTTTTGTTCATCAAGTAGCGTTGCACAGTGGGAAAGCTGGATCGCTAATAAAGACATTGCGCAAACTTTTTGCATAATACGATATCGCGTGGGCATTCGTATTTCCACGTGTTTCTAGTACGATCTTTCGTAATACGTGTGCACACACTGCTTTTCGAATTTCCCTTATCTTAACGGAACATCTCGCTGAAAAATTTCAAACGTACCGCGTTTCCATTGTGCGTCAACATTTCGCCATACTATAATTGTTTTTCTTTTTTCTTTTTTTTTTCATGATTTATATTAATGAAATTTAAAGTATTGTAATCTGGAACAGTTGTTGATTGAAAGATTTTTAACACGTTCACTATCATTTACGCGATATCGCCTGTTTGATTGTTATTGTTAAATCTCCATTTACGCGATATCGAGTGAGATTAAAATTTTGAAACAAAAATCTTTCGTATCAGGTATTTGAAAAATAATTATTTAAAGGTATAGTTTAAAATTTATTATAGTTCAAAGTTTCAAGGTACGTTTTTATTTTCTAACTTATAAATATAGTCGCGACAATAATTATGACTTTGACCATATAATTTAAAAGCAGAATCTAAAGTCATGATCCCATAATACTAAGTTTTTAAATTGCGACAAAAGCCATTTTACGATATTTTACCTGACGTGAAAACGTACCCTAGTAGGTGACATGCCCGCGTAATTCAAATAGGATATACCTTTCTTCTTCTTCGGAGTGAAACGATACCCCGTTGTCTAATTGAATTAGAACGGTGTATATTCGTTAGAGTCTTTTCATCGGGGAGGATAAACATCGTCCCTCGGTTGTTCTTTACTAAAGAAGTCTCCTGTTTTGACAATATCGAATGACTAGTAACGCGACACGTCCGCCGATGCTGGCGTAAACAAGTAGAGATAGGATGCCTTTGAAGGAACGATTCCTTAAGATACTGCTTTCAACGTGTTTTCTTTCGTATTCATTCCCATCGAAAGTACTGTCAATTAGGTAGAAAAAAAGGTATCGTATATCATAGTGTATACAATATATTTATTTAACCTTAAAGAAGAAGTTACACGTTCCCATCGTGTAGTATGACTGTTACAACAATTAGAAACCTAGTTTTATCACGTTACTCACACGCGATGACTCATTACTACCTTGATGGTAGCAAGTTAATCTTAACAATACGCTCGTGTATCAAGTATCACGAATTTATGCGTAACTTCATTACCCAAACAATTAATAATTATGGTACAGTCGTAGTTTGCCACACGTGTTCGAATGAGATACACTTGATAAAAATACAGCATCCGATCGATCAGAGGTGATTTTCCTGACGGAAGATCCGAGCATAGATACATCTCGGTATCTTCGTGTAACAGGTTTTGAATTTCGTAGTCGTTCGGCCACCCTCGTACCTGTAAAACGCTGCACACTGTGTACAATATAGCATAGCGAGTCGACACAATGGCGGAGAGTTTCGGAGAGCAACGTGAGTCAGCCGTGGTGGTAGGGAGTGAAGTTAGTGCATTCCCCCTTAGTCCTTTTACCCACACTTAGAGAAGCGTTGTTTTCCTCCGGCTCACGGGGCGAGCTCCGGCTCAGTGTCAGTGCAGCGATCGCTTCGAAAGTGGTAGCACGGAGGAGTCGTGACTCTATCTCTTTCGCTCGATCCCCTCCCCTCCGTCGTCTCGCTCCCTCGGACGTGAGATAAGAACGTCACGCATACGCGAGCGTTATCCTTGTCCGACTGCTGCGTCGCACCCTCTCCATCTTTCCTCCCGTTGTTTCCTCTCGGGGTAGACGTACTGTGCTGCGCACGATTTCCGATCGATGCGGATCAATTTTTGTGTCAAAAAAAAAGAGTGCTCGTTAGTTGGCCCTTGGAAGTAGCCGGCTTTGAGGAAAAGAAGCGTGCTCGTAATTTCTTGAATAGGTTATGTAGCGCACATGTGAATCGACTTATGTGTATACACGATCGCGTCTCTGTGTTTTTTAAGACGATCCTGTCAGCATGAAGGTCGAGGTGATGTTCAACGTTTTCGTGTCGCTTCGTTAAAAATACTAGCGTATCGATAGAACGGCAATATACCGAAGGTTCGTTGGATTTTATCGTGTCGGCGTTATTGCATCAATTATTGAATTGCGAGCATCGTTGATTTTATGTTTACGCGTGACAAAAAGGAGTTGTTTCGGGGAACGCAATCAACAGTTGTTTCACAAGCGGTCATTTTGTAACAGCATGCGTAAAATTGAATACTTTCCGTCACGCGGCCTTATTTAAATCCGTTTCTGCGGAGCAATTCGTTCTTTTTTTTTCCAATGCATGTTTCTACCGCGAAAGATTATCGGGACGCGTCTCGTAATTCGAAAGCAATTCCTGTAATTTGTTTGGTGTTTAGCTGTGAAATCTTTACATTTGAACGGTCAAGCTATCGTTTAAACATTAATCTCCTCTGTTATCTCACACTTGCTACTTGATTGCACCGCTTACTTGCAGTGTTGTCATTAAAACAAGAATAAATTTAGTTTTTTAATGGTAAATTAGTATGTACATGTAGACAATATATGTTACTGTAAATATTTTATTTTAGAACGAAAGTTTGAAAATTATATTCCTTTTTTGTGTTAGATAGAGAGTGTTTTCATTTTATTTAAGTTAAGTCTATTTGATTAAAGGTGGATTTCTATGACGGTGATTGCTTAAATCTTTAACTGCATAAGACGTATATGTATATATAAGCGCTCTTAATTGTATTAATATACATGAATGATGTAAACGTTCACGCTTTCGCACATTTATCGGTATATATCGATTACGTACAAACACTGCCGTCCATAAGTCACCGGACACTCTTTAAAACAGAATACTCTTTTTAAAATTGGACCAAATGACTTGAGGTTTGTCGAGAAGCTATACAAATTTATTTAATAAGATATGTGCTTTTGTTGTTTTAAAAAATTACAATTTGTCGAAATCAGGAAACAAATAGTAAAAGGTAATTTTTTAACTTTTTTATTTGAGCCTGTAATGCAAATTTAAAATATGTCTTTCGTAGATTCAAATAAGTTATGTGTATGCTGAAAATTTCATCGAGATCGGTCAACGCGCTTAAAAGTTACAAGTAATTAAAATTTCCGAAAATCGCGATTTTTCATCTAAGAACGTGTCTAATTATGTAAACGCGTTGACTGATCTCGATGAAATTTTCTGTATATACATAACTTATTTGAATCTACGAAAGGCGTATCTTAAATTTTCATTAAAGACTCACATAAAAGAATTAAAAAATTACCCTTCACTATTATTTTATCAATAAATTGTACTTTCTTAAAACGACAAAAGCACATATCTTAGTAAATTAATTTGTATAGTTCCTCGAGACATCTAAAGTCATGTGGTCCAATTTTAAAAAGAGTATTCTGTTTTAAAGAGTGTCCGGTATCTTATGGACGGCAATGTATGTGCTTTGATACGTCCATTAATATAATATATGGCAGGCGTATATATGCATATGTATGCTATTATAGCCTATTATTATATGCGGAAGACGTATATATGCGTTTTCAATAATAAGGGGCAACTTATTTGACGAACGTATATATACGTCCTCTTTCCTTATTAGTGTGTACACATGACGTGTATATCCGCTTTCATAATACCTATTGATACACATACAAGACGTTAATATACACTCTTGCGTGTCTATTAATATATCCATAGGACGTATATGTACGTGCAATATGTTATAAAATCTAAAATAAGTTTAACCTTTAAAATCATTTTTAAAAAATTTTTTTTTTTAATTTATGGTGCGTTTTCTTTTACAAAGTTTAAATGAATCTTTATAAAATATTTTAAAGTATCTAATTGTAATAATATAATAAGTAAAAACTGATTTTGGGTATGTCAAGATTAAGAAACGACCGTTGAGCCAGAACCCTGTACCGTGGTAACCATTTTCGAAACACGTTTTCCTCTGTTGTTACAGGACATTGACTAGAGGTACAAGACAATTACAAAAGGAGAGAGTAAAAGTGTTCGCCTAAGAGGAGAATTTTCGGAGGAGGATGCTCGGCAGTTGGGGCTGGGAAGAAGAATTGGAGTTGGGAGAGGGAATAACAACCCCGTCGCAAGATAGACAAAGACGAGAAAGCCCAGACTCGACGCATCCTGTCCCCGACAGCCGGGTGCTAAGGTATGCACCCAGCCGGTGTCACCACCCTCCCAACTTCACGACACCACATTTCAGCACACAGCCTCCTCTCGACTGTACGGATTGTAAGTATTATATATTTTATCCTTAAGATGAATTTTCAATAATCAAACCGTATATAGTAGTGGCAGCCAATATGAAGTAAGGTCATAAATTAAACATTGTCCATGATTTTTAGGGAATTCTAGATCAGACTTTCACTGGACTCTCCCTGAACTGTCTCTCGACCAAACCCCCCCTCCCCCAAATAAAAAATGGATAGACAGTAACGGAATAGTACTTTGGCCCGTAAAATTGCTGGATATCCATTATATTAAGAAATTGCGCCACTTCGAAACTGAAAAATCAAAGCTTTTTTCATTCACAATTTTAAAATCATAAAAACGCGGGGAAATTTGCTTTGAAAGAGAAGAAATGATACATATTTAGCCATATGAATTCTCTAGCCTTCTATCTGGTATTAGATGCGAGAGATGGTGGGTGTCTAGGAGTGCAAATACAATAACACTTTCACTTTTGGAAACAAAGTTCATCCTGAGAACCAGAATGATTGAACATAAAGGTTGAATATTAGAATCAATGAATCCTAATTGTGGGAATTAATTTGTTTATTTCTTCCATTTGAATATCATCATTCGGTATCTAAGTTATTGACAAATAACGAAGAAATTATGAAAATATACTAATAAATTGTTAATTAATTTTCAGAGCAGCGTGAGGTGGCCAAAATGCTGACTGCTCATTCAGAGATGCAGGAGAAACGGGAGGATCCCCTTGGAGGCGGACAATATGGAACAGGCGGGGGTGGTGGGGGCAGTTCGATTGAAGAGAAATCTATTCCAGAACAACCACCTCCGCCCCCGGCGCCTCCACAGAGGGATCCATCGGATCCAACGATCAGTGCTAAGAAACTTCCAAAGAAACGAAAGTTTGATCTATCGGAACTCGAGGAGATGGATAAAACTAGCAATGTAACGAGCAACATCAACAATATGGTGAACATTAGGGCACCAAATATGCCAATCAGTCAATCAGGTTTAGTTCAACAGTCTACCATTGCGACTAGGCAATCTCCGCAGCAACAAGAATCCGATTGTTATCAAGTATGTTTCAAAAAGAACATTAATGAATGTTTTAAATAACTCTAGTGTTATTTTGTGTAAATATAGCTTTAAAAATTTATGAGGTATGATACTGCCAGCGCCATTGATATTTCAAATGCACAAAAGCGCGGGAAAATTTGAAATCTTAGTTGACTAATATAAATAATAATTGATACATTAATACTAATGTTATTGATTATTTTTTCAGGTATCCTCGGCACATTCGGTGGTAGTTCTACCACCCCAAAGTACAGCAGTGGATTATTCAGTCCGAGAGGAACCTCTACGTTCTCGTCCTCGGCCTGCCACTGTTGCTATTGATCTCAGTGAGTGGCGCGACCACAGAGTGTTAGCTTTAAGGGATTCATATTATTATCCGGGTGTTATTCGTAACGTTGTCCAAGGCGAGATTTATATAGAGTTTGATGGTGACAGGAAACAGATGCGTTACACGGACGTTTTGGGGGCGGGAAAGTACGATGTGATAGGTGACGCTAGCCCGTCTGTAGGGCAGGTGACTTTAGACGCGAAAGTTTGTATCAAATGTCCGACGTCGAACAATCATATAGACACGGCTAAAGTGTTCGTTAAGGGGACGGTGTGCAAGATTCTAACGAACCCTAAACGTTTTGTCGTTAAAATACCAAGGGAGGACGATCAGAGTGATCGTTACGTCGTGAAACGCGCCGATCTGAGATTGGTCCAACCTCCATGGTGGGACGAACTGGAAGAAGGACTGGAAGACTGTGATTCTTCGAGGGTCGAAGGAATTGGTACGTAGGATATCTTAGCATGTTATTCATTTTATGGATCTTGATCTTGTTTTCAGAACATGGCTACCGAAATTCTTCAGAAGCTCCAGCAGTGCCAATTTTACAGCTACATCATACCACGCATCATACCTCTCATATATCAACCCATAGTGATACGAGTGGTTATTATAGGACTACTGGTACTAGTCCATTGATGACTCTAGGAACTTCGGCGCACTCGGCTACTACTGCGTTAAGCAATGGGAGCAGACCGTATGATGATTTGGAGAGCGAAGATGACTTGGATAGGGAAGATATTACGTTCCCTTCGGACGCAGGTAATATAGTTACTTGTACAGTGTCGGTTATGGAGGATGTTCTAGGAAAAATAACGGTATAGGGGAAGGTACTACTAAAATCCCCATTTATATTGAACGACGCAAGTTTGGATCACGCATCAGGTGCGTCATGTAGTACTTTCAATTGATGTTTGAATGATGTACTAGGCGCGTCATATATTCTGCCTATAGAAATTTCTGTATCGCCATTTACCCTAGGGAACCCTCTCGTACTTTATACTGTACATAGATCTAACATTTAATAAAAGTAATATATAATTGTATTTAACTGACAGATGCAAAATTATCAGGGAGTAGTAAGAGAAGCAGTATGCAGAGTCGAGGGAGTACCAGTAGTCTAGTTGAACAGCGCAGTATAACTCCTCGCTCTCAAGCAGCCACACCCAGGTAATAAGTAACACTTAATCATTTAACATGTTTGTTGCGGCTCACGCGCCTGGCGCATGAAAGTTTTTTGTTTTTGGCAAATCCCGTGAAATATTAAATTAATTAATTATTGTACAGATCTCAGGCGGCGACGCCACATAGATATAAAAAAGGTGATGTAGTGACTACGCCAAGTGGAGTCAGGAAGAAATTCAACGGTAAACAATGGCGTAGACTTTGTAGCAAAGAGGGATGTTCCAAAGAAAGCCAACGGAGAGGATACTGCTCTCGCCACCTCAGTTTGAAGGGATCTGGTCTCAGGGGTCCAACGAACACCTTTCCTGGGTGAGAAAAATAAATACACTTAATCATCTTAAAACACAATACAAAAATTGCAACAACCCTAGAACATGGTTTGCTCAAGATGACTTCAGGATGAATTACGCGTGTTATAGGAGGGTTGACTATATTCATTCTGAAATTCTCTTCTATATTTTTAATTTCAGTAGTAGAATGGATGGCGAAGAAACATCCAGGGATTCCGATACGTCTCCAAATTACGGAGACAGGAGAATTGCTGGGCGATTTGATCAAGATGAGACTGAAGCAGCGAATATGCTTGGTGAGTGTTTTTTCCGTAAGGCAAACGGGTCATTTGTTAATTTAGTTTCCATTTAAAACACGTCGCAGTCTGAGAGTAAAAGAACGATTCTGATGTATGTTTGTTGTTACAGTGTCCCTGGGAAGTTCTAGATCAGCAACGCCAGCTTTTTCGTCGCCTACAGGACAGTCCTCCATATCCCCCTGCATTAATCAGTCTCCAGTCCCACCATTGGGTCTCAATCAGAACAACGTCTTCATGCCAATATCAAGTCCCGCTCATCATGCGGCTCCTTTAATTTCCCCTGGAACTAAATGGAAAAACTCGCCGACTCAGTCCACCTTTCACACGCAGTATCAGCAGCAAGTCATAAAACCAGAGCCCAACCGCGTGGTCAGGTCAAACCGCCCAGCTCCGACTGCCCCAAATCCTGCCAGCATAGGAGCAAGTGTGATAAGAATCTCTCCAGTGAGCCGCGGTATATCCGGACCTAACTTAACGTCTTCATGGTCCGAGCAAAGTCCTCCACCCCGACATCCTTCGGTTGTGACGACCATAGCCCAACAGCAACAAGGGATCATCCTCCAGCACGCTCTCACCAACAATGGTTTCCCGAGTCATTCTGAGATTTCAGAGCAGAGTCCACAGATACTGAAACCGTCTCACTCGCCTCACATACCGCCTCTATCCGCGCCGACGCCGCAAAATCTCACTCTTCTACATAAGCCTCTGGAGCAACCAGTGGACTACGCTCAGCCCCAACCTCAGAGTCAGCCTATTTATGTGATGCAACATCAGCATGAGAAGAAGTATCTTGTGATAAAGAACACCATGGACGTGTTCGCGGCAGGGCATATCACCAATCAGGATGATAAATACAGGCCTGGGTTGATGAATCACCTAGGTCAGCTCCCATCGCTGCATCAGGCGCAGTGTCAGCCACCCCAGTCGCCTGCTGTTTCGTCCGTCCATGTTGATAAATTATCTGTTCTTCAGCAAGTAAGTATCCTAGTGTAAAAATCATAAGCCCAATATTATATGTATACTGTTTGTAGGCAAGTAAAATTGCTACCCATGCATCTACGCATATGGACATGCAGAGGACCCAACCTCCTCCTACCAGTGTTGTTATGACAACTACTGAGGCTTCGAATCCACCCACTCCAACTAGCGTCTTCCAACACGTGATTGTACAACCCGGGCATTTGGTGCAGATTCCAAAGACTCAAGCATCTAGAGAAGAGAATTCTAAAAATAATGGAGTTCTGTGTAAGTCCGGATTTTATAATGATGATTTTAGCCTGCGTAGTTTGGTGTTAGGATTGTTATTATAGGGATACATTTTGCATTAATTATTGTGATGTTAGAGAATTTGACTAAACGGTAAGGCTTTCACAGATGGCAGCCACGATGTCCCTGCATACCAGGCCCATCCTCCATCATTACTGAACAATGCAGTGCGCAACTGGAAAAAAGGTTTGATTTCTCACTGCCAAACAAAATGTATGATTGTTATTATATGTGTTGTAGAATATATATTGTTAATGGTACATTACATTACGCCTCTATGACGCGAAAATTTGAATAGCGGTAAGAGTTATTTCGATAATTAAAGTTAATATGATTTTAAAAGCACCTAATTTTAAACGTACCATTATATATTTTACAACCAATGCAAACTAACTTTCTGCTTCTAATTAACTTTAATGTTGGGGAACGATTCCAGCAAATTGCTTCTCTCCGATTCGGTGCTTTTAATGTTGCAAAATTTCCTATGCTTCTATGTTGCGAAAATATAAACACCGATAACGATTATTTCAATTGTAGTTACTATGTTTCCAAATGTATCTAATTTTAAATGTACCATTAATACAAACTAATCAACTTTCTGCTTTAATGTTGGGAAAGGTTCTATTGCTATTCCATCCTACTAACAGTGGCCATTGTGATTAACACAGCAATTTCATTGCAGCTTTTCCCTGGCAGACTACGGTTCTGGATCAAGCAGAAGTGAGTCCTCCACCATCAGCATTGAGCCCACCACTGAGTGCACCTCCAATTCCAATCAGCATGAGTACGCCTGGTGAGGACGGATCAGCTCCAGGCCCAGACCCCATCACTCCCGCGGAAGAGGAGGATGATGATGTATTTGAAGCAGAACCCACAACTCCTGCGGAGGTTGAGACCAATGCTAACAAAAGACGCAGCCAATCTCTTAGTGCGTTGCATTCCAAAGAGCCCCAGAGTCCTCTGAAAGTAAGTTTAATTGAAAAATACAATTATTTCTGAATAATACATGCAATTTTTTACAGACTAAAGACAGAATACGCCGGCCAATGAACGCATTTATGATCTTCTCTAAACGCCATCGCGCTGTTGTGCACCAGAGACATCCGAATCAAGACAACCGCACGGTATCTAAAATACTGGGAGAGTGGTGGTATGCTTTGGGTTCGGAAGAGAAGCAGAAATACCATGACCTTGCATCAGAGGTAAAGGAGGCTCATTTCAAGGCGCATCCGGATTGGAAATGGTGTAGCAAGGATAGAAGAAAAACTTCGAGTACAAGTTTTAAAGGAAGTGAATCCAGAGGGAAATTAAACAGCACTGGAGAGGAAACTGACATGGGACCACCAACGGATGACATACCACTGACTCCAAGAGCCAGTGATGAAATCACTGTACCAGTCACCACCGTGTATAATGAAGTCCCTACCATCGAGGTAAATTTTACTTACATCATTTAATATACAATTTTCTATTTGTGTATTTTCTTCAGGTTGTCAATCAGTCGCATACTCATCGGATAATGGAAATGCCTCTGCAAGTGGAGACTGCGGAATCCGATATAAAACAAGACGAGGATGGAAATGCATCGGATGAAGATCAGATGGTTATTTGTGAAGATCCTCAGCCTGAAATTGATTTGAAATGTAAGGATAAGTTGACGGACAGCGACAATGATATTCAGGATGAAGACGGTGAAAAGAAGTGCTATTCTCAGTCAAGATTCTCTCCTATGAGTGGTCAAAAGATGAGTGTCAAGCAAGAAATCACCTGCAGGCCTAAGCCCATCAAAGGTACATTTTATTTAATTATAATACATAATTATGTAGCATAGTGTGGTAAAGGCGTCTCTCCTTTGTCTAGCACGAATACCTTCAACAGGTATTGAGACTACAACAAAGTACCATCACACTTCCATGGACAAAGGGGGAACCGTGTCTGTTTTATCCAGCACGTATCCTTACCACAGTCCTGTGAATCCTACCGGAGTGTCAGGTTTCCAGCCCACTGGTGGAGCGTTCATAACCATGCCTATATCACCGAAAGTCATCAAGCCTGAGCCAGTGAAGAACGAGCAGCAATATAGTACGCAGTACAGCATGAGTAATCTGGTGGCAAGCATTCATGAAAATGGAAGGAACATGACTAAATTCACAGCTGCTCCTGTATTGCATTCTGTGAGTATATAGTAGAACGATTGGATAGTAACATACATACCTAAAATTACCCAGACACCTAAGTCCCATTTTTTAAAGACCCCAGGCATGTGTGAATACTTTTGTCTGAGAATAAGGTATGAATAGTTACTATGATATTAGGATAGTTGAGTGCTATTCGCACGTGCCTACTTGCCTGAAAATAATCAATTTAATTCTTTGTTGCATGATTTCAAAAAGAAATTTAGTTTTAAATAATAAATAATTGTATAATGTTGAAAGTTTTTTAATTTTGTGCAACAAAGGATTAACATAATAATCTGAAATGAGGGAGCAATAGACTCTTAAATGGTTCACGTGTAAACACATGCGAATAAACTCAAAAGCTTAATAATACTGACAGATTGGATCAAAACCTATGATGGCTCTGTTTAAACAACAGCAGCCGTTGCAGTCTTTAGGCACTATTCTTCGTCCCCTTACTTCAGCTGTCCCTTATCAACCATCGTTCACTCTAACATTGCTCGATAACGATTTGGTGGCTGTTTCCAAACCGCAGCAGGGATCCCAGTATCTTGGTCCGACACCTCCCCACCCCCGGATGTACTGTGGATTCCATATACCTATTTCCGGTAAGTTTGTACGGTACAAAATAAGGTAGGTGCACCTAAAGAAAATTGACGGGAAGAAAGAATTTTCAAAGTCCTAATCTTAAAGATATTAATTTAGAAAAAGTTGAAATATTATTTTAGGTGTACAAATTGAAAAAGTTGAAGATATTCGCTTAATAAAATTTTCCTTAGGGAAGCCTACCGTGTTCATTACTGTACGCCAAATTAAAAATACACAAACATCTATTTTTAAAAATCCTATAATTAATTATAGATGCTGGCAATCGCAACATATCTTCACAAGGTTTAGTTTCTAGTAATAAGATGGAAACGCAAAGCGTGATTGTGAGCAAATCTTATCCAGTCTCAACGACATCCACTACGTCGAATTACAGAGGAATTGGTCATCCAATAGCGCGACTGGCAGAGCCTGAAAAGAATGAAAATCAAGTAGGAAACAACCATGCTCAATTTTATGGTAAGTTCTCAAAAATCATTTGTTTCAAAAATCAGTTATTTAAAGTAAATTAGAGATTGGGAGTTACATGATTCGTATTTTAGTGACCAATGTGAAATCTGAACAAGACAGGAAGGATACTGTTAATATTCTTCTACCTGTTGCGAACGATAAACACAAGCAACCATCCACGCCGCACACTCCTCATACGCCTCTCAGTAATCACGCTAGTGAAGTTCCATCTAATAAATCGTATTCCATGGATGATGTTCAGAATGATGTAGGGCCAAGTAAAGGTCCTTTTATGCTCGCGCCTACCCCAGCACAACTTGGTCGTGCACCATTACAAAGGAGACAATCAATGGGTATTTTATGATAGTTTTGTTATTGAAATTAGCTGTGAGTATATGTTTATGGATATTATGGTTCTTAGCAATGCCTCCCACATCAAATGCAGGAGACCATGGGCCTCTGACGTCTCAACACTGTGACAATCGTTCACAAACAAGCACATCTCAATCCGCGGAACAAAATTTCTCAGAATCTCATGCTTCGCCTTCACCTTCTACCAAGAAAGGATCTTTCTTTAAAAAGAATGTTGAGGATGGAATGGACAGGTATTTTAATTTTGAAAATATTAAGAATAATTTAGAATATAATTTTTAATTATTAGATGTAGAATTTAGTATGTAACTAAGAAATATAGGTAATAAAATAAATATCAATTTAAATTTTCCCGCGTAAATATTTACACGTAAGTGATAGGACCCTAGACGTCTATAGGTATACATATATGGGACCACCTCCCTTACATTGCCATTTCCCTCGGAAAAACCTCTGTGTACGGTACTGTACAGTGTTCGTGTTTGAACAGTGCCAAAAATACGGACTAAGAATTTTAGTTACCCTGATGTTTATATTTAATTATTTCAACGTTTAACATATATACATTTCCAGAGTTCTTGAGCAAGTGAATTTTCAAGAAAAGTTCTCGTCTTTGCCTGAATTCAAGCCAGAAGACATCCAAAGTCCAAGTGCAATCACAATTAATACAGCGGGTTCATCTGGTCATAGTTCAGTAGTAACATCAGGTTTACATCCATCAAATTTACAATCATCGATTCAAATGCAAAGTTACCGCAAGAAGTCTACACAAGGACCTCATAGGCCCACAAGTAAATAATTCTCAACAAATATTATTCGCTTTTCAAATTTTCATTTTAGTAAAAATATATTTGTTTAACAGTAAATGAGGACGAGATTGAATCGGACACACCAGTGTCCGCCACTCCAAAATCAACTTCCAGTGTGAAATTGACAGGGAATACATTCTTTGGTCCAGACTTTAACGTTGACGCATACAGAACTAATACAGATCTTGTAGACGTCGATGCCAGTTCCCCTAGGACGCCGAAGACCCCTGGAGGCGGTGGTAATTCAGTAGGAATCGGCGGTAGAAACGAAAATGAAAGAGGCCACAGAAAAGTCTTGGAACAGCGTCGGCATCTTGTGATGCAATTGTTTCAAGAACACGGGTATTTTCCTTCTACTCAGGCTACTACAACGTTTCAAGCAAAACATTCGGATATATTTCCTAACAAGACGAGTTTGCAATTGAAAATCAGGGAAGTGAGACAGAAATTGAAAGCCAATTCGACGCCCATGAGTGCTAACAGTCTCGTTAGCCCGTTACCTGTTTCTGAACCTTCGCCTAACGTGACTGGTATTTATAAACTTCATTTTCATTTAAAATTTTCCCGAGTTTATTGCGCGTATGATAGCCGAAATGTGCAGGTGCATAGATATCTTGAAAGACGTAAATTTTTAATATCAGTAACTTACAAATACTTAAAATCGGTTTAATTCCTAAAGAGTTTTTTAGTAATTTGTTGTAATTTTTAATTCTCAATTTTAATATTTTTATAGGACCATTGACTGCTCCTCCTACATCGATGGGAGCTCCCCATTCACTGCCCGTAAGCAGTAGTGGTAGCTAGCGCCCACGTGCCAACTGTGATACTATGCATCCCCCTACTCCACAGCATGAGTACATCATTATTCATTGAAAAGAAAGGAACGTTTGTTGTAAAGTGATGCAAGGCTTTAGTGCAATTTGAACATTGAGGCAGGTAAACTTAATACAGGCATATCAAGGTGAGTTGATGTACACATATCAGTAAATGTATATAAGAAAGTTTATGTGTGTTCGAGTATCTGTGTTTTATTGGAAACGAGTGATCAAGAATTCCACTAATTAGCAAATTAGAGGCTCAATAAAAAATGACGAGCTTTCTTGTCTCAGAAGAAAAGACAATACTCTTCTGCATTCTAAATCCAAAGATGATTTATAAAAAAAATATAGAAATTATTTTACTACAGGTGAAAGTGATATCTGTACATCGAAGCACCTTGCAAGGAATTACGGAAGGCCTAAGCCGTTGTTAAACATTGTATGCGTGTGTGAATGAGAGAGAGAGAGAAAGAAATCTTAATCAGAGTATTAGAATTAAAATGAAAATCAGAGTTTATATACTTTAGTTATACTTTATATATATAGAAAGATGAAACTATAGAACTGCGATATGAAACATTGCACAAAATTTATGTAACGCAGTCAGCAAATATGTTTATTTTATCTGTAAATATTATATGGCATGAGTTGGAGTGGGAGAGTTTAAAAAGAAGTATCTATAAAAGATTTTAAGAAGCATTCAGATAAATCGTGCCATTGTGCGGCGACAAAGAAGGGAATGCATGCGTAAATAAGTCCCTTAATTAATTGTTAGACACCACTTGATATATGTTTCTAATATTCTCGAAAGTACTTATCTACTGTTTTTAAAGCTCTGCTTAAATTCAACGCGTTCCATTATTTTATAAAATATTTTAAATTTTTTTTGCGACGGTTTTTATACAGGCCGTCTTTTTTTCTTATTTTTTTTTGTTTTTTTTTTTGGCCATGGACAATCTATTTGTTTTTAAATGCGTATTATTTGATGAAATTTGAGATTCCATTTTTTTTAACGAATTATATATTATTTTAGCGCATTTTATCAACACGTTGAATTTCAGCGGAGATTTGTTGAATTTGGCTGTAAAATAGATTATGTAATTAGCGATAATGTTTATAAAATGGAAAAGCGCACTTTGAAAAAATTCAAATTTTGCGCCACGGCACGCATATTGTAGTTAGGATAGGAACAATGTCTATTCTACATATTTTGTAAATAGGAAGAAAATACAATATACTAATTGAGTATATATTATTAAAAGATTTAGGATACGAAATGGTAGAGTATAGCATTGTAATTTGTAGAATAATGAGAGCGCAGGCAGGATTAGGTTATGAAAGGATCATTACAGATTGCGGGCCTTCTTGCGCACGGGACGGTCCCCCCAACCCTCCTCCAAAGTTAACCCTTTCCTAAAATTCTTAGGATATTATTATTTGTAAATATTATTACATTTTTTCATTTATTATTTTTCATGGAGCGTTTAACGCACCGGCGGCAAAACAGAGACACTTGAAATCTGCAGTGATTCAATCTTGTAAACTTTTTTTTAATATTGTTTAAGAAATTCATATTATTATTATTCAAATCATATTATAGTAATTTTCTTTTTAAATCACATTGTTTTTATCAGAAATTTTTTTAATTTCCCACCATAATTTATAGATTGTTTTGAATATTGCAGAGATTTTTTTAATTTCCCGTCCAAGTATAAATTACTTTGAATCTTGCAAAGGAATTTTTTTTAATTTCCCGCCAAAGTTCAGATTGTTTTGAATTCTATTTTTATTATAAAAACATTTTAGATAATAATATAGTTCCTCATTTTAGAGTTTCAGCAATATTTTATATTAACTGCGTAATTTTAATATGTACTAACTTCCTTTTACAGGAAATAGATCACACCAGGGATCAAGCGTCTCTCATTGCCCTTCAAAGAATTTATATTTTGTACTTGTATAAACTATTTTCCAGTATTGATAAGATTTTGAAAAATACTTTCATATTTCCCTCCTTTTTTGGTTTTTTTTTGTTACAAACTGGTGATGAAATATGTTTAGTGATTTAGCAGCCATCCATGTGACTGTGATCTAGGAAAACAGAAGTAAAGTAAAATGGCGGCTACTTAACTGGCATTTTCTTCACCATATTCTCTCCCCTGAATCCTTACGCACTTGATCGAAACCTATGCACTTCTATTTCTTAATTAATTTCTTTTTTTTATTATTATTCGCAACAATGTATTTTTATTACATTCTAAGTTGCTATTTTTTCTTGTTTAATTCTACAAATATTTTTAAAATTGTTATACGATTATATATCAGTCACGAATAATGTTATAGAAATATAGGAGAAGTAATATCATATTATGGCGAAATAAAAAGCATACAGTGAATCTTTGTTATATACAGCATTAAATGCATGAAAATATCATGCATTGTACATGCGTAGGTAATAAAGTGTAATTGTATGAAAAATTACAAGTGAAATGTTTAACATCTTGTGATGCATATACATATACTTACACAATATGCATACATATATATATATATATATATAGATATATATTACACAATTTATAGATGGAAAATATGGCTGTGGCGTTAAAATCTGTGCCAGTCTGCTAAAAGTTCATAAAATTATTTTTCTAACAAAATTCATTTTAAACTTTACATATAATTATCTTAACATATTTAAAATTAGGTGTACCTATTGATTCAGTGCCTTTAGCATTACGTGTTTTAAATTTGAATTTCCCGCGCTTTGGTGGACTTGAAAAGTGGCGCGAAAATATGAAAAGGCGCTGAATTAATTCTTATACCTAATACTTTTAATTTTTAACTGTGACAGATCAGCAAAATTGTATAATGTATTACTTCTGCATATACATGAACTGTAAATATAAAAATTTGTTGGGATTGGCAGATTTTAACACCGACGCCCTTTATACGAGAACCAGTTGTTGGACCAAATTGCCGTGTGACCATTTTGACTTACAAATGCGTTACTTTTTTTCTAAAGCATTAGTATAACAAAAGTAATCACGGAATTTGCTCGAAGGCACTGTGACATTTACGGAGGACGTGTATTTTAACACTGTGGCGAGCTTAGAAGAAAAAGATGTACAAATTAATTCGGTGCCTTTAGCATTACGCCTTCTTCAATTTAAATTTCCCGCACTTCGGTGGGTTTAAAAAATGGTGTGAAAATTTGAAAGGACACCGAATTCATTTGTACAGCTAATACATATATGTAACATTGAATAAAATGAATACATGCGTTGATTACTTTTCATTCATTATTTTGCAATATTTAATAAATGCCTGCAGACTTTTTTATAATGCTCAAAGTTACAGTTATTTATTTATTCTATCCATGACGTTTAAGATTAAGGGATATTTAAACACCGTACAATGTCACATTGCTCGTACAAGAGGTTATGGTTGTCTGCTGTTCAACAGCAAGAGTGAATCTCATTTTGTCCAACGATAATAAATTTCTCATCACTGTACGGAAACAAATGCCTGTTGTAATTAATGGTGATATTATATTGGTGTACAAATCAATTCGATGTTTAATTTCGAATTTTTCACGTTTTGATGGATTTGAAAAGTAACGCGAGAATATAAATGATTATTTGAATAACTGTAGCACCGAATTAATTTGTACACACAATATATTGAAAAAAAATTAAAATCAACACTCGAGGGATTATTATACTTGTAAACAGTGTTTTACGCCTATTTGTTTCCGGAAAGAAACCGATATACACTTACACTTAACCAAGAGAAGTTACGTTGCATCTATGTACAGTACCGAGTACGGTAGAAATTCTCTAAATCTTAATTTTGAGGGATATTAATATTAAGAGTACTTTACAATATAATTTTTAATTATTAAACATGAGCAAATTTAGTATATAACTAAGAAATATAATCAATCCAAATTTCCCGCGCAAACATACATACAAGTGATAGGGCCCTAACATCTATATATGTAAGTACATATGTATAATGGGCCACCTCCCCTCTATTGCCATTCACCTTAGAGAAGTCTCCGTGCTCAGTACTGTACATTACTGTGTTCTAGGATCTCCGAATTGAACGAGGCAGCATTTTAATTGGTATAAAAGTACTTGCAGATAAAACCAAGTTACAGTCCATTATGGTGGATAAATTTACATTGATTTTTTTCATTTTTCGACGAAGTGCACAAAGAGGATGTACTTTTCTCGGGGAAACGTTATTTAAGGGCCTCTGTACATTAGTATTACCATCACTGTATGTGAAGAAAATAGTGGATTACGAATTTTCAGAAAGCAGATATATATGAATATATATATATTAAAGAATCATATATATATTATATACCAATGTCTAATTATAAATTATTGAACAAGTGTTATCAAATAAAATGTTGTACTCTATGTTGACAATCGCCGACGTTCTCAGCCTGAACAGGTGTACATCATGCCTTGAATTAAAGAATGCGACACGGAAGATCATGGGTGCGTGTAATTCATTTTTTCAAACAGTGTAAAACAAAATGGCTATCGACCGTTTGCTTGTATTTTATTATCACAACATTAGACGTGTTCACGGATTAAAAGAGCATGGAATTTTAACCTGTATATAGTTCAGTTATTTGCTTCGAGGACCTTGTAAAAAAAAAAACAGAATATTTAGCTGCTTTGAGGATCTTGATAAATGCGTACAATCATTCTCTAATTTTCCTTTCTTATTTCATGATTACATGCCAAACGTCGTCATTCTTTTAGTCATTTAGTCATTTTTTTTTGTACATAATTCACGTAGCATAAAATGAAATACAAATAAATAAGAGATGCGTATTAAACTCATTTTGTTATTGATTTCAGAATTTTCACGTGCATTTATAATTATTATTATCTACTATTGGAAGAATTATGTTATATTTCCTTCTATCTTTAATATATTAGCGTATAAATTAATTCGGTCCCACTAGCATTATTATTTTGAACTTTCCCGCGCTTTGATGTATATGATAAGTGGCGCGAAAATTCGATTTCAATTAAAATAAAGAAAAGGCACCGAATTGATATGTAGTTTCTTTTGTTAATGTTTTAAAGCTGTGGAGATATTACGAAATAATATATACTCATTGAAAAAGTAAAATTTATATTATGGTAAAAACCATTGAATTACAAGTTTCAGGTCTTAGAACTATCTAAATAAGGAATGTTAGTAACAATAATTTTGCCTATTTTTAAATTCTACGAACACATTACTCAATTCCCATTCAAAATTAGTGTTTTACCTTACTTAATTCCTCTTGAGTGAAACGCAACACTGTAGAAATTGCATTCAACATATGACGTTTACTAGAAGCATCACTGGTAGTTAAATAGTTAATGAAAACGTTTTTTAAATATTCCAAATTAGCGCCTTCTCGAGATTTGCATGCTTCTAGTCTAAAAGAATTGATTATTTTTAATGTATACATATTATAGTAGGCGTAGACATTAATTTGGTGCCTTTTATCAATTTGAATTTTTAACTTCAATATCTTCCCGGGCCAGGAAAATAAGTGTCGGTTCTCGGCAGTAACAAAAATTAATGCTACTATAATTTTTTACGAAATATTATAAGTACTTTATAGTTTCTACAATTTAAAAAGAATAGTAATTACAGTAATGCCTTTTTTAACTGAAGTCGTAGTAACTTTAATGACGATCATCGTCATTCAAAATCTCGCGCTACTTTTCAGATCTTCTGAAGTGCAGGAAATTCAAATTCAAAAGGTACCAAATAAATTTATACGCTTAATAAATATTGATATGAATATATTACCTCGCAATCTGTGCCTGTAAAGTTTTTATCTCTTCCTTCTGTTTCTCCTTTATATGAACCATCTCTCTTTGCCTCTCACGTAGTGTAGCTTCCAATTCTAAAACTTTCCTTCGAGAAGTTGATACCTGAACTTCTTTTCTAGCTAATTCTTGACTGTAATGTAGAATTGGAGGACTGTCACTTGTTAATAACCCTGTCATTAAATCAGTAACAGGTTCTCTCTTATTGTCATCTGATTTATTCTGAATATTTTCTTTTTTAGGCAGAACTGCATGGAAAGATGATTTTAGACTCATGATTTCTTTGTCTTTTTCTTCTATGAGAGCCATTGACCTTTCTCTTTGACGCAGTAACTGTTGTTCTAATGTAGATATTTTACTTCGATATTCATTGTCTTTTTGTATTAACATGTGCTCCAATTTATCTCGATCCTCTTGAAATGACTAAAAACAGTGATATTAATTATAGTAGATATTTATAAGAAAAAGAATCGAAAAATGGTGCGAGAATTTGAATACCTTTTGCTGATGCTCCAATTTCAAGTGTAATTCCCTTTCCTTGTTTATAATTTCATTATTCAAAACACGTATTCTTTCTTCTAAATTATTACTATGTGCCTTCAAAAGATGTAGTTGCGTCTTATTATTTTTATCATGAGACAACGCTATATTTTGGTTCTGAATATTATAGGACCTATTTGTATTACTATATTTCCATTGTTGTTTGTAATCTTCAAATTCTTGCAACAAAATTTCATATTTTTCTTTGTAATCAACAACGTGTTGCTTGTCACACAATTCTAGATTGTGTAATAACACTAAAAAATAAAATTTGTTATTAGTGATTCTTATGAACATTTTTAATCAACTCACATTTAACATGTGTTGATTCATTCTTCTTATTGTCCAAATCCAACAATTTGGTATAAAGATTCTTTATCTTAGAGATAATCTCTTCAGGCTCATTATTTAAATTAATATAATCATGCTCAGAATCTTGTAAACTGATTAATTGGTCTTTTAGTTTTTGAATTGCTTGCTGATCTTGTTGTCTCATTTTGTCGTATCCTCCGACAATTTCTGAGAGTTCAGCCAATCTTGCTTCTAAGCCAGCCACTCTTGCTTCATGGGTCATTGCCAAAGCTCTGGCCTGTTGCTCCGCGGTTGCAGCTCTCTTTTGCTCCTGTAGAATAAATAAATGATTTTTAGTAGAGTTATAGATAAAAATTGCATAAATTAACACGTCGATTGACTAATTATTAAGAATTTCATAGCATCACACTTTTTAAATTTGAATTCCCCGCGCTTCTATAGATTTCAAAACTGGCGCAAAAATACGACTTCAATAATTGGAGTTACTATGAATAGGTATTGAACGTATTAATATTTATCGAATTACTTCATGTATCGCATTCAAATGCTGCTTCTTCATTAGAGCCATTTCAGACTGCAGAGATAATAAAATTGGAGGAGTTTCTTTTGCTGCTTCTTCAGCTTGCCTTAATTTATTCCTAGTTATCTCTAATTCTGCTTCAAGTATTTTGCATTGTGTTTTATTTGCAAACTGACTCTTCAGCTGTGCTTCTAATTGTTCTTTATTCTTACGTTCATCGTATAATAATTTTTGAAGCTCTCTGAAAAGAAATATCATGTAATTTATTATTCCCTTTATGTAATTTCAAAAATACTTACTTTATCATTTTAGCATGATCTGCCTGTTCCTTTTCTCTCTCGTGACGTTCCATAATTAATTTACATTTTACGTGTTCAATTTCTGAGTGATTTGAATTCTGTGCTTTTTTTAATTTGTCTTTTAAATCTTTTATTACCTTCTCACACTGCAAAAAGTTGAAATTTAATGTGATTTAAAATTAATATAAATAGAATGAACTCACTTCATCGCGTTCATTTCTTAATTGTTTTTTATCTATTTGAAAATTTGCTTCCATTTTCGATTTTTCTGCTGAAAGAGTAGCCAAAGAATTCATCAAAGTGTCCAACCGGTTTTTTAATTTGTCTACTGATTCTAGGTCGTTGGTATCCGTTTGAATTTCTCGCGACTGGAAATAGATATTTAAGATTAATAAAATATTATAAAAACATATGATTTTATTTTTAACGACTGAAAATTAGGATTATAAAAATGTATATTAGAACTATATGGCTAAGATTAATATAAAATTATAAGAATCTCTAATTTTTTAATTTGTATACTTGGCGTGAATTAAATAATTCATCATCTGTGTTTGTAGCTTTAGATTGCTTTAATTCCACATTTTCTGCATTCCTTATTTCAGAAGAATTGTTTAATTTATCTAAAATATTTATAATTTATTATTATTCAGAAATCGTTAATTGTAATATTTATTAGCGCTAAAAATTACAATGTATGTACCATCTACATTTGAATTCCCCGCTTCTTGTTTATCAGTTTCGTCTTCCATTTTGTTTCAATAGTTTCAAACTTAGAAATCAATTAAAAATTAATACCACGTATTCTTTATTTAATATATTTGTATATATTTATTAAGAATAATATTTCCGCCTGAAATAAGAATATAAAAATTAATGAATTTATTTTAATTGCAGAAGAATTTATATTAAAAGCTACATTCTTTCATTTTCTTTTTTTGCTATTAAAAGGTACCGAATGCTATTAAATAATTAATGCCTTTAAAGATTTAATCATTATATTTATAAAAATGTCGCAAGTTACATAAACTTATACTGTTATTACATAATTAAAACGTGAAAAGTATCGTACAATTACAAGTTTAATCATTTATTTTTAATGATTAATGAAAAGGATTTTTAAGAATTTTTTTAATTTATCAATTATGGCAAATAATTCGGTGCCTTCAACTACTATTTTAAATATGAATATTTTCCCGCGCTTAAGTGGATTTAAAAAGTGGCGCGAGAATATAGTTTTAGTAATTGGAATTACTGTGACTTTTGCAAAATAAAGGAAGGCACCAAATTAATTTCTACACAGTTGTCTTTGAATTTACATTGATAATCATTGACAATTATTTGATTCATTAGGCTTAATTGGAGATTCTATTTCTAATGTTACAGGCCCACTGTTTTGTATATTAACTTCCATCATTGCTCCAAATTTACCATCTGTAGAAAGTATTTAAAGAAATGACCATATATTACAATAATTTGATAACAGTACTTATTTCTTAGAACTGTTACCTTTAATTAATTCTGGTTTATAACTTTTACCAAGCTCAGCAAGAAACTTATTATAAAATGGTTCAGATTCTTGCGCAGACATAGCCTTATGAAAGTCTAATCTATTTCCTTTCAAAGTATGATACAATGTAAACTGACTGATACATAGTATTTCATATTGTTTATCCACAATACTGGCACACCATTTCTTTTCATTATCACCATCAAAAATCTTAGTATTCAGTACCTTTTTCACTCTGAGGAAAATTAAAAAAAATTTGCTTTTCATTTTGTAAAATCAAACAGTCTCTTTAAAGCATTATTTATTACATATATTTCATGTCTTCCATCGTGTCATCTCTTTTTATACCAATTAATACACAGAGACCATTTCCAATGTTACTAATTACTTCACCATCAACTGAAAAATCATTCTATAATTTTCTCAATGTTAAGTGGAGGTTAATTTTGCAATGTAAATTCTTACTATCTACCACAATGAAATGAAACATATGGTGATATTTAAATATATAACCAAATGATTACCTGAAACGCTAGCCTTCGTTACCCTTTGTATTACGGCTTTCATATTAAGCCTAAAATTGTCAATTATCGTTATCAATAGATAGCAAAGAGTAAAATTAACAAAATATATAATTGCTATTGGTTCCACAATACAATGAATACTTATGTATTCATATATGTACTACATATACTTGATGTCACGAGAGTCCATAACTAAGCGCGCAGGTTGAAAGATGGTAGGGGAACGCAGCGATGGTGGGGGAAAGCGATCCGCCAATCGCTTTCCACTTCCGCTGGAAGTATCGCCAATCAGAGCGACAATGCGCAGAAAAGAACGAAAACTGGTCTTTTCGCAGTTATGGACTCTCGTGACATCAAGTATACATACATATTAGAGTCGGCTGTGACGAAGTAAATACGAGAGTTGGAAGGCCTGACTTACAGTTCTATGAAAGTGCCATCTTTGTTGTCATTTTTCCACTATAATTTTCTACGCGAATTTACAGTATATGCAAGACAGATTGCGCTAGTAGTTTCAACGTTTTCATATCTCATAATGTCGGTAAAAATATTTTTGCAAAAGAAAGATCCTATTACGCGAAATTTAAGAAAATCAGATATGAGAATTAAATACTTGTTATATTGATAACAGACCAAAGCTAAAATGCATAAGTTATATGAAATCTGTTAAAATAATTATAGATTGTTTCCCGTTGAGTCACTACAAACGAAGAGAAAAGGGTGATAAAAAGCAAAGTTCAATTACTTTGACGGGCTAATAGCTATTTAGTTTTTCCTCAGAAAACAAGTGTACTCTGTTCAGTTGTTAAGAGCGGTAGTTAATAAACAAAGTAGTTCTATCTGCTGTATAATGTTCTATTGTATATAGTTCATATATACGAGGAAATTCGATATATGTTTGTATGCGTACGCGCCTGTGCTTTCTATACATAGAATTTTACGGCTGTGTTAAGACTTTTGTGGTGGTTGTATAGTTGGCAGGGGGAGGTCTTTAGCCCCCTTCGTGAGGCACACGCCGGTAATGAGTGTTTATACTATAACTACGGCGACACCAATAACAAGTGCAACAGTATCAACAACAACGACAACGACGACGACGGGGGTAACAGTGACGACGACGGCTACGTCGACAACAATAGCGGCGCCGGCGGTTGCCGTGTCGCCTGAAGCTGCACCTGGTTGGATAGAATTTTGTGAGAGACACGCCCGCGCTTCAGCTTCTGATTTCGCCAAGGCTTTTTGTACTTACGTCAGTTTAAATTTACCCGAAAGCGCTAGATCAAATCTTTCTCACCGTGATTTTTTAAGGAAATTCGTTGAAAGCTTTTGCGAGCACTTTGAAAGCGAATATCTGCGTCGTACAATTAGGTCTGTTCCAATCTTAAAAATATGTTCTTACACGTAAATTTTTGTTTATCTAAGCATCTACAGTTTATTGAATTGTATGTCACATGATAACATAAGAACCTATTAATAAAATTATTGTTGTTTGTAAGATATTACTTTACTGAAAACACATCTGTACATATATGTATGCATGCACGTATTAGAAAAATATATATTTGTGCTTTTACAATATTTTACAGATCACCATCTTTATATGACACCAGACATACGATAACTAATGATAGGGATATTAATGTTGCAAGTCAAAATAATAATGCTCCTGTACGTATCTCATCTCATGAGGAATTCAGTGATTATTCTGAGCACGATGGGGATGCAATATCACCAAAACCAATACATAAACCCTTTTTCCGTCGTTTATCTTTTAAAGGGCTTAAAAAAGGTAAAAGCTTCTTTCACAAGCAGCAAAGCGACGAGGTGGAATTATCTCATAGCGAACATCGCAGAGATAAACATTCAAAAGCTAAGCTTTCAAAGATTGTGGTGGAATGTAGAAAAGAAGGCATTGTTAATTCCTTGATGGGAGAAAATATTGATGGAACTCAGAAATGGGAAAAATCAAGACTTGCCTTAATAAAAGCAATTGGTGGATACATGTTAGAATTTTATTCTCCTCCAAAAGCAGTAAAACCACGTAGTGGTGTGTTTTGTTCTGCGATAACCGAAGCCAGAGAAACAACTGCATTAGAGATGCCAGATCATGAAAATACATTTGTATTAAAGACACAAAATATGGAATTTGTAATAGAAGCTCATGATTCAAATGATATGAGATCATGGTTAGCTACTATTAAATATTGTATGCGCACAGTACAACAAAGTTTTTTTAATCCTAGTTGTGGAACAGATGCTACTGAAGATTCTTTAGGTCATGGTTCATTAGCTATTGGTAATGAAGGAGATAGATTAAGAACTAACTCTGCAAGTAAAAGTTCTCGATCTACAGCCCACGAACACGGGGATGAAGCACCAAGTAACCCACCAGAAATACCTCCAAGACTTCGTATGAGAAGTAATAGTAATTTAGAATTATGTTCATCACAAGATATTGATCAAAGTAAGATTTGTTTTCGATTTCTTTTTACAAGTAATAAGTAGGTGTTCAAAATTGTATAGTTTGTACATTACAAGCAACGAAACTTTATTATAGATGATGGTGAATTGGATTTATCGCATAGTTTAAGAGAGTATCCATGGTTTCATGGAACTCTTCCTAGATCAGATGCAGCACAGCTTGTTTTACATAGTGCTGCTAATGGTCATGGTGTGTTTCTCGTTAGGCAAAGTGAAACCAGAAAAGGAGAATTTGTATTAACTTTCAATTTCCAAGGCAGAGCAAAGGTAGCCTTTATTAATTCAGTAGTCTTTAATAAACAATTAAAGTCTTATGATAATTATTATTGTAATTTTTATTACAGCATTTACGTATGACATTGAACGATCAAGGGCAGTGTAGAGTTCAACATCTTTGCTTTCCTGCAATATATGACATGCTTGAACATTTTCGTAAAAATGCTATACCTCTTGAATCAGGTGGGACAGCCGATGTAACTTTAACGGAATTTGTCGTAGCAAATCATGCCATACGACCAGGACACCATAATGTAGCTGGAGTGAACCAACAACAGTTACAAGAAAGAAGACCTCCAGCAGCTCCAGAGCCAAGAGAAGTAAGAGTCAGCAGTGGAAGTCTAACTCCTCTTGAGTGAACGCGAGTGGCCAGCACCCACAGTCTGAAGTCTAATCTACAGACAGTGAGTAAATAAATAAAGTGATGCACCCATTTTTCGTGCGGCTGGTGATATATACATATACTTATGGAGATTTTATCAGTTTTTTCTTTTATAATTCCATCTAGGTCCATATTCGGATTATTTTTAAACATTTAAACAATAACAAATTTTTGGGATCATTTTTTACTATTAACACATTGATTATGTATTGTCAGTGGTTCAATTATGTACATATTTTCTTATTTGTCGAATAGTTACATTATGGTCTTAATAAATTATATCTTTTTGATAATGAGTGGTATGTATATTTTTATTTATATTATTAAAAAAAATTTGTTTATACTCTAATAAATTTATATTATTGTTGTATATTTGCAATACTGTTATTTTATGTAAAGTACCTAGTCTTATTGTTGCATTTATTATACAATTTCCTATTATTTTAACATCGGATTTAGACATTTAAAAATTTTTAATCCGAATGTGGGAAATTACTAAAATTACTGAAGTATAATCAAAGTAGAAACAGTTGTCAAAATTAATACGCCTCATGTCAAATGTGTGACAACTCTTAATATTAAAGAATTTTATGAATATTATGAGAAACAATGGTGCTGAATAAGTATGACCGTGGGGCAAGGAGCTCGCTTTTATACATAAACTGTTCTTAAAATTTCTGGTTGCCTTTGCTTTATAATTGCTCTTTCACTTTTGTTTCATATTATTCTTTAAATCCAGAAAATTTAAGAAACATTTTAATTACCTCCTTTAAATCAAATTTAAAACAAATAATTACCTATTTGTTAATATATAGGTACGCACATATGGAGGTTCTATACGAACACGTACAGAATCACTGGAGAGACTGGAACAACAAAATAACATTACAGAACAACAAAGTTCATCATCATCTAGTGGTAGAGCAATTCAAAACACTTACAGTTTTCTTTGACGATGGATTCACAATACTTTACCATCAGGCTATAATCCAGTTAGTTCTTTAGATTAAATATTTTCCACATCAACTTATTTTATAAACAAAACCAGGACCTCATTGCCATTGTTTTAAACAATTACTGGAAAAAAATATAATTTTTCCAATTTTATTTTGTAACAAAAGGTTTTATTTGTTAAAACGTTTTTTTTTTTATCTTTTAACGAAAACATAAAGTTTGAAACGTAATTGTTTATTGATGTAAATAGAATTTATGAGCTGTACTCTTTTGCACGTTCAGATATATCAGCTCAAAGTTTCATAATATTAAAAACATTGCGGCCTGCTTGTCGTTATTCTATTACAAGAATAAAGGGAATATTCTAAAATCATAGAAAATTATCCATCATGCCAATTAATTTACTTATTGTTAGATATGTGTACTTATACATATAAACGTGTAAAGAAATTATATGCAAATGTAAGTGCAAGTTAGTTCTCTTGTATATGTAATGTAATTACAGAAAACCTCTTTTCTATTCTGTTCTTTTCTTATAAATTGCAGAACATACAACTGATAGATAGTACTTTTGTTGAACTTTATTTTAAAAATTCAACAACTAGTCTTAATATTATATGTAATTATAATCCTCAATTTTTAAGCAAAAAATCGAATTGTAATATTAAATCCGAGCAAAATTAAAACATCAAATATAATTTTGTATTATTTTGAAGTACAGTTAATAAGTTTTATAATAAGTTAAGTGGTAAAACATATTATTAAACTGCCTAGTATATAAGAATTATTCATATTGTAGAGCAGTATGGCTGAATGTGCAAAATTAGATTATAAAGGAATGTATAACTATTCAAATCCTTTGGATAGTTAAAAATGCATGAAATTCATAAAAAAGCATATAACTATTTTTGTTATAAAAGATAAACTTTATTATTATTATTTTTCCTTTCTTGCATACATTTTTTTTGTTCTAAAAGAATTTTTGTTAACAGAAACTGTTGACCTAAATATTAATTTTTATTTAATTGTTATTTTTAATTTCATATAAAATGTTAAATAATTTGTGAAAATCATGTTTATCCATCATACATATATCTAACTGAATTTGATATTGTAAAAAGAGTAAAAAATTATTTTTAAATAAGATCTGAAGTATAATGAATGTAAAAACACATAAAAAAATTGTCGGAATATCGTGCTTAAATTGGAAAGCTAGTTAATAACTGAAAATTAAAATTATCATTAGAAAATATATGTATAAAAATATAACAAATTTTTAATAAAACTCATATAAGATATATACCACAATCCAACTATTGAACTATTACATTCCTTTGAAAATACATACTTTCAAATTTTGTTAGCTTTTGTTTGAATGTAATAAATATCTAGGAGAAAGGTTTATACTTCGACCGGTTTATATATACCGCAGTTCACCAGAGTCCATAACTGTGACGCGCAGGTTGGAAGATGGTGGGGGAACGCAGCGAGCTCTCTGCTAATCGCTTTCCACTTCGTTGGGAATATCGCCAATCAGGGCGAAGATGCGCACTAGAGATGCGTGAAGAACGAAAACTGGTCTTTTCGCAGTTATGGACTCTGGTGAACTGCGCTATATGTATATAGTACGAACAGTATCGCCTTTAAATTAACCTCCTACTTTACAAATGCAAAGTAATACGTTCTCTCGCGACGGGGACTATAATTTTATCCCCATATAACTTTTAAGTGACGGCAGTATTATTTAAAATATCGGGAATGCTTTATTATAACATTTAGTGTCAATGACATGGATAAAAAATAATACGAGATATCATATACTATCAGTGCATATAAGTATATAAATATACAAATATGTTACTGAAAACGGGTAGACTTGTATAAGAATCATTGTTTATCATCCAGTAAACGTGTATTATCATTTTAGCAACCAGATAAGAGTTATTTCTGGTTAAATTAAAAGTATTCTTCCGCATTTATCACAGAATACAGAATAATTACAAGGTGCCACGTCAACTATATAGATAAATATACACGGCTATCAGCATGGCATCTCAGGTAACGAATTCTTAATGTAATGATAGTAATAAAATATTAATAAAATATTAATTAAATTTAAGGTATATGAATTTGGCGTAGAAATGACATGCGAAGGATGCGCTAATGCTGTAACAAATGTGCTTAATAAGAAAGAAGGTAAGAACTAATGTTTATTGTATGAATTTATGAGGTTTTCATTTTATTATTAAAATTTTCTTTCTGATTTTAATTACTTCCATCAAATGATGTTAATAATTTACAATATGAGATATAATATTAATTTAAAGTTATAAAGTTTTATTATAAGAGGTCAAATGTAATAAATATTAATTCTGAAGGTAGTCATTCTATGTATTCATTTGTAGGTGTCAATGATATACAGATAGATTTAGAAGGAAAAAAGGTATTTGTAACCTCTAGGCTTCCTTCTGATGAAATATTACAAACTATTAAGAAAACTGGAAAAGCATGCCAATATTTAGGAATAAAAAAATAATGTTGATTTAATTTTGATCAGCAATTTATCAAAATTAATATGTATGATTACTAATTTACAAGGTATTCTGGTTGTTAAAATTCTGTTATTTTTCAAATTGGTAATGAAAAGAATGTGAATATTAAATTTAAGGATTAATTAAAAGTTGTTTTATATAAGATTATTATTGTATTTTTAAATATGTACCACTCAATCATATAAAAAATAATATAACTTTATACATAAAATATAATCCTTACTTTTTTAATTCTTCTTCTAATATTGTTAAACGTTGTTCCAAGCTCATAACAGCATCATGTAATGACTGTACTTCTTCACTAAGGGCATCTACTGCATTACTTGCATGCATTTCAGAGAATTGTTTAGATAAATATGATATATTTACAATACGACCTTCTTCAACTGGTTTTTGGTTTCTCATATTAATTATTTCAGGTTTCATATTTTTTGTCAAAGCTTCAGGGTCAGGTGCTTCACACTGACTTTTCTCGGGTTGTACATTTATATTATCATACTTTTCATGTAATGGCTAAAATAATGCAATACAGTTATAAATAAGTATAAACAATTTTATATTATTATATAAAATATCATAATTACTATCTCCATTGTTTCCTCTCTTCCTTCAAATATATCAATTTTTTGAGATATTTCATCATTGATGCTGAAACTTGATTCTGTAATAGGTGAAACTAATTGTCGCGGAATTTTACGAGCAATATCATCTTTATCAAAATTAGTCTTCCACATTAGTAATTGTCGATCACCTCCACCAGAAGCAAAAAATTCTCCATTAGAAGAGAATGTTATTGACGTTACACTGGTACCAGCAACATGTCCTTTAAGTGTATAAATCGGCCGACCCTCTAACAAGTCTAAAACCTGTTCTACATGTTTTAATACATTTGTTATAGAGAAAATAAATAAATAGAAAAAGCTTAATCTACCTTCATTGTAGAATCACTAGAAGCAGTTAACATGAAATTTCCCTTTGGATGAAATTTTATCATGTTTACAGGACCTGTGTGAGTTGCATAGTGTTGATATAAAGAAGTAGTACGTAAATCATATAATTTTACACAACCAGCTGTATTTGCAGATCCAATAACAGACCCACTTGGATGAAATTCCACATGTGTAGAATGAGCTGATGAAATAATGTACTTTATATAGTAACAGTTACAATATTTTGAAATTTATTTACAGAATGTACAAAGTATAAAGGTTTCAAGTGCAAGTATACCTTTTATATCATTAAAAGTTTGAATACAGCGTCCACTAATAATGTCCCATAATTTTATTGTTTTGTCATCGCTACAGGAGATTACAAGTCTACCATCCAAGGAAAATCTAGCACATCTGACCCAGCTTGTATGGCTTACAAATGACATGAGAAATCTTCTTTGACATACTGTCCATAATTTGATACTTTTATCATCTGATGCAGTGATCAACTGTACATTAAAATAATATAATTTTAAATATATAATAAATGTAATGAATGATATAATGTAAAATACAAATACCTTCTTTCCATCTGGACTAAACTGTATCGATCTAACAGCCCCTAAATGAGCTTTAAAATCTAAACATTGACCTGTTACTTTAGGAACCCAAATTCTAACAGATCTATCTCTAGAAGCACTAGCTATAACTTCTCCTGATGGAGCATAAGCAACATCAAATATAGCATCTTTATGTCCCTGAAATCTGTAAGCCCTTACGGATTCTTTTAGATTCCATAGTATTAAAGTTTTATCTAGGCTACTTGATACAAGTTGAGTAGTCTCAGGATGAAAATATAAACTTGTAATAGTGTTTTCATGACCTTTAAAATGTTTTTCTATTGTAGGATCACAAGCACTTTCAACCATTATTCCTCTACAACAAATAGTTTGTATAAAACTACAATAAAATAACCGCATACAATATTGAAACTGTTCAGCTATGATATTTGTAACCTAAATATAATTACTAATATATAAACAAAATATTCTATAATACATTTATTATCATAAAAATATTGTATTCCTTTTAACTTTGAGTGATTTTGTTTAAACAAACTTAAAGTAAAAGAAAACATGGAATATTTAGTTACCTTTCCTTGATTATATCAGTTATGATAATGATTGTATTATAAATGTTTCGAGATATATTTGTAAATTATTTTATACATTGAGTTGGTGATAGTTGATTCACATAAAAGCACGAGGTTTCTAAAGCATATTCAATTCAAAACGAATTTTGACTACGTTCATCAACAGAAGTACCATACCACCATCAATGACTAAAATTTAGGGGATCCTTGACACCCCTAGTTGAGGAAAAGACTGCATATAGTACACAGATCAACAATTAACTACTATAGAATATACAAATAAATTATTTTAAATTCATTACATATGTATGTACAGAATACAATTGTTGACAGTTGTGTCTGTTTTACTAGTCCCTCTTATACCACACCCCGTAATTATAATTAGAAAGCCACAATTTTGACTTTCTTTGATTTTATTTGTTTGGAAACTAGTTACAATCAATACAAGATTAAAAAGTTATTAAAATAATTGTTTGACAAATTTGTATCTTAAACAGACCGCCATAAATTATTTTTAAAATTCGATCCTAGTGCTATCTATACAAGAACGGCAGAAACTACTTAATCGCTTACTGATTTATCGATCGACCTCACGATAATCGGTAAAAGGTCGCAGAGCTTTCGCTGTTTGCCGAAAGGCGCCACTAATGTTCCCCTGTTTGTGGCGGCCGTCGTCGATGCCGAATAAATTTTCAACGCCGCATAAATTTGTCATTATCACTTATTATTTATTTTTATTAAACAAATTCAAATAACTTTTTTGTACTTTCATTCGGTCCTCAATCTTCAAACCGAGAAGTCTTGTTAACATTTATAAAGATCAATGTTAATTTCAATAAATCAATCTCCATCAATCACTCACAATCAATCACAACCAAGAAAAATTAAAAATGATCATATTTTATTATTCCTTCTGGCTAGCTTCATGTAGGTGTCCGGAGTAATACATAAGGTCCCGGAGCCCTCCTTTAGCACCAGGGACGGTCACCGTGGGGTTTTAGTCAGTGGGAATCTGACACTCCCCCGCCGCCCTCCCATAGGGCTCGGCGGAGGGTTTATGCAAGATTTCCCCACGTTAAATAAAAAAAAAAATATTTACAGCCACTGATTCGAGTAAAAGTAGCTAACTGCGGCACCGTTATCAACCGTTCGACCTAGACCATCATCTCAGTCTTACAGCGACCGTCAAGGGGTGCAGATCTACCTGCTAAACATACATATACCTTTATTTCATTTTCTGCGTTCATTTAATTTGCTGTATTTATCTACTTAGCTCACTGAATAAATTCTTCTAGGAAGAAGAACGTGTGTGCAACCTTTACATCCCTGATTCTTTTACATCTCTGCACCCCTTACATTCCAGCATTCCTCTCATCCCTGCTTTCTTTATACCCCTGTATCCTTCACATCCCTGTATCACTTACATCTCTGTTTCCCTTATATCCCTGCGTCTCTTACATCTCTGCATCCCTTATATTTCTGTATCCCTTTATAAATAAAAGGGAATTAACTTTTGCCGAAATTTTGGCCCTCGAGCGGGAAAAATGCGAACTAAAATTCGACCTCGAATCAGCACCCTCTGGCGGCAAAAAAAGGAATTAAATCACGCCGAAATTTTGGCCCTCTAGCGGGAAAAATGTGAACTAAAATTTCGGCCTCGAATCAGCGCCCCCTGGCGGCAAAAAAGGAATTAAAGCATGCCGACATTTTGGCCCCCTAGCGGGAAAAATGCTAACTAAAATTTCGACGTCGAATCAGCGCCCTCTGGTGGCAAAAAAAGGAACTAAATTCGTACAAAACTTTACTTACCTTTACTTACCTTTGCTTGAACTATTTTTTGTAATGTATTTATTATAAGGGTTGCAAGGGTACAAGAAATGTAGGGATATGAGGATTGCAGGCATGTAAGGGATGCAGTGATATAATGGGTGCAAGGATTCAAAGAATTCAAGGACATAAGGGATGGAGAGATATAAAGGATGCGGAGATCTAAGGAATTCAAGGATGTAAAGGATGAAGGGGTGTAAGCGGTACAGGAATGTAAGTGATATAGGAATGTAAGAGCTGCCTAGATGTAAGGGATGCTGGGATTTAAAGGATGTCTACATGTAAGGGATGCAAGAATATAAGAGATATAGGGCTGAGCCCCGTGGGACCCGGAAAGACAGAAAAAATAATAAATAATTGGAAAGTGTGAGCCGAAGCCCATGAAGAGGGATGCAATCATAAATGTTATTCCCCTTCGATGAGTTTATTTAATAAGCAAAGAAAATAAATGAAGTAAATTAAATAAACTCTAGAAAAAAATTATACTGGTTGTGTCCTCTTCATACGGACCTGATATTATCCAGGGGTGTTAGGGACCCCGCTGCGCCAATGATGCCCTCAACGTACCGACCTGATATCATATTGGGGTAGTAAGGACCCCTAAACGCCCGTGACTATCTTTGCATACCAATAATATAGCATGCGGGGTGCCGGGGACCCCAAAGCATAGTGAGTGTCTCTGCATACCGACATATCATCGTGGGGTGTCAGGAATCCCGATGCACGGGCGATACCGTTTGCATATCGACATTTGGGCATGCGGTGTGTCAGGGACCCCTAAGCACCGATGACACTCTTTGCTTATCGACACTACGGCATTCGGGGTATCTGAGACCCCGAGGTACCGGTGACGATGCATACTAATATTATGCCACCGGGGTGCCAGGGACCCCGAAGCAAATAGCGAAATATAAGACCTAAAGACGAACAAATCGTGAAACACACTTGTTCGGAATAGTGATGGGTTTGACGGGATGTAGCGAAATATAAGAGCGAAAAACGAACAAATCGTGAAACTCACTTGTTCGACGTAGTGATGGGTACGACCGGATCTGTAGCGCATGCGCACTACATTTATTTATTATAAAACAAACTTATAAATAATTAAGAAATTATTCACTCACAAACAATGAAAATTATATATTTGTAAATCACAAACGATTTCCAATCAATTACAGTTACCAGTTATCGCAAAATCTGTTTATTATAAAAAATTTCAGCTCACATCATGACTGAAATAAAATTGCTAATTACAAAAGAACTAATTTGTTACAAATGTTAAAAATAGACTCACAATCAATCACAAACGATTTACAAATGAAATACACTAAGAAAAATGAAAAATAATCATATTTTATTATTCCTTCCGGCTAGCTTCATGTAGGTGAGCACAACCTCGCCTTCCTTGTCGTTCGAAGACAGACTGATACGCTTCTGCGCGAGGCGGCTAATTTATAGCAGTGACTAGTGAAACTGCTAGTGACGTATTTCTATTGAAATTTATTTTTTTTATAACTTTTATGCGTAAATATTTACCTTTATACAATATTGAGAAGTAATTACTGTGTTTTAATATAAGTTTGATTTTTATAATTTATTAAAGATCAAACAATCATTAAATATTAAACATACAGTAATAAAAGTTACAACTTATACAGTTTACTCTTAGATTTTTAAATTTATCTACTGCTTTTTTAAAATAATTTATTTACCATGGCACACAAATTGAGTACAACCTTGTAAAACAATTATTTTAATAATTCTTCGGTCTTCTGCTCGTTCTAACTGATTTTTTTCGAAAAATGGATACTCTGATCAGTAAGGGAAATAATTTATGGTTTCGAATTTATAATCTACAGTCACCAAATCTTTTTCTAGACGACGGTAATGGTTCCAAATACTGTTGTCGATTTTTCATGTTACTTAGACCCATTTTACTAATATTGTCCATGTATTCTGAACGTTCAGACATAGGTGTATTCCATAAAGAGAAACATTCTGGAACTAAAGGTACATTTCCACAATATTGCATATCTAGCTTTTATATTTTTATTTAGTATTAATTTGAAGATCATAACGTATAAGAAAATATTTGATACCTTGCAAAAGATTGATGGTCTTTGCTGGTTGAATATGTGGTCTCTCGATGGCGGTGTACCGGAACCTTGTAGGATCTCTATAGCCTTCTTTTAATTCTGTAACTTCCGTTGGTATTGGCGAACAGTATGGGGAATCGACTGCAGCCATCAGTTTTCTGTACCCGCTAATCGGCAATCCTAAATGTATTTAAACTAATTATTTAGGAAAATCCTTGTTTTTTTCAGCATTCTTTCGTACCTCTTCTCGAGTAGTCTGTTCGATAAACGCTTTTCATTGTCTCTTCCATCGACTCGCAGTTGCTGTCCAACAGCGCTGTTGTTAGTTTCGTCATCTTGCGATTAACTTTCATTAATTGATCATAAATTTGCCGTTCCTTCTCTGCTAAATACTTGTAACTGAAAAGATGTTTTTAACGATCTTTCGGAATTCCTTTTTCAAAGTGTTCCAATTAGACAAATATTAATTTACTTATTCTTGTTGATTTGATGGCCATGCACGTCGCATTTGCAATCTTCAGGGTCGGTTCTGGGCATATACAATCGAGTCCCCGTGTTCATGGGCGGTTGTGCAGGTTTCGCGATAAGAGGTATCGGGTAAGGCCATTTAAACTCATTTTGAGTGTTCGAGATGAAGTTTTCCAACGCGGTAGTCATCGTGTACCAGTAATTTGATTGTGAATTTTAAAATAAACTACCGAAATTTACATTGGCTCCTGTGAACAGAAACATTTTCTTTCTATACAAAATTAAAGAATAATAAAAGCGCAAGGATTGAAATTTTTCGAGGTTCCTGTAAAAAGAATTTTCAGAATTTTCAGAATTTTCAAATTACCTTCTTAAATCGAATTTAACCTCTTTTTTTGTGGAAACTTCGTTTACCTAGAATTTCATCGTGGAAAAAACAGCCACTAAGCGTTACATGACAAAGAAGGCCGAGCTGATTCGTTGGTGCTGGTCGTGCAATCGAGTCTCAACACCTTTCGGAAAAACCAAAATACGCTTTCTTTCGCCATCGTGATTGCGGCAACGACAGCTCTATAAAGAACGTAATGCAGTACAGCGTTCAAACAGAAAATACCAATGTTCGCGACCACCGATTCGGTTGTTGCCGTTAAATCGCTCATTTTGCTATCATTCACTAATGATTTATCGAATCATACCCTTCGGACCTCAGTTTGATGGTCGATGTTCAATTTGAAGTTCACGTTTTGTTCTACCCCTTCGACAGATAATTTCGCGCGTATCAGATTGTAGAGATGTAATCATTATACAAGGACGATTTATTGCCGTGGGTAACAAAAGTACAATAAACGGACGATAAATTTGATTTTTAAGCGGAGGTTGCCGAGGTGTCGCTGAATTTCCGGCGCGGGGAGGCGGGCCTCGACATACGATCGATCGTTTCCGGTTCTTCCGGCTCGTTTCTCTTCTCGTGTTCTGCTTCGAATTCTTGGTCACCGACGAGCGGGACTTTCATGTAAATACGAGGGTCCATTCGTTTCTTCGGTTTCACGCGGTACCTGTCCTTGTGCGATTCTTCTAACGATGAAAAGAAACGCTCCTGAGGATTCGCCGAGGTTAACTTCAATAGTACCTCGTCCTGAGATTGACTGCAATCTTTCCTCTGAACGCGTCCTCTCGGTGTCGTGAAAATTGGCCTTGTCGTCTCTTGTACGCATCCGCAGTTCAATCGTGTGATCGTGGTCATTGTGCCGCAGGGCTCTAAATTCTGGAGAATACATTTGTTCAGAAGTTTGCCGAACGAAGGTCCATTTATATTCGTCGATGTAATTTCCCTTTATCGAAATATTATCTATATAAATAAAAATTAAATGCTGTTCGTTGGTAAGCGTATTACTTGAGAACGGCTGGACCGATTTGGCTAATTTTTTTTCGAAATGTTCGTAATAGTCCGAATAAGGTCTTTAGGGAAAGAAAAACTGGAAAAGTTGCCCGAAAAAATGAAAGTGCTTTTTTCTATGGGACTTTTGTATGAACTGAAGACCATAACTCACTATTCGAACGATGGATATGCGTAATTCTTTTTTTGTTTTGTTCGTTATGGTCCTGGAAAAGTTTTCAGGAAAAAAAATTTGAGACAATTACAAAGGAAAGTCGGAAAATTTGGAGAGGACAACGTCTGTAGGGTCAGCTAGTTGGTTATATAAATGGACCTTTCAGAGTATAATTGTATCTAGAATCATATCGTATTTACCCTTTCTTGTAATACTTTGGGCACGATTTTAGAACGATTTTCGGAATAAGGTTGGAAGCTGGTACTCTGTAATTTTCCGGCCGTCTTCAACGGCGATGTACCTATTTTAGCCCCGAGATAATATTCTCCTATTAATCGTTTAATCTCCTGCGAGTAGTATCTCTCGCTTATGTCTCGTTTCATTTGCAGTTCCTTTAATTTTTGCAACTTTTGCATCGCTATTACTGCCTCGGGCATATTGAACTCTGAGTGGCCATTCGGTCGCTGAACCTTCTCGCGAATAGTAGGGTTGTTATGTTTCGGAACCACGTTCACGTAAATCGTTTCATCCGGATAATTATGTAACTGAAAAAAAATTAGATTTTGCGATTTAAACATTTTTCTTCCAAATTAAAGGCTGAAGAAAAAAAAGCAGCTACTGATACGGTGTTCCTATTGCCCTCTTCTTCTTCGACGACAGTTTCCTCGGAAGATTTCGCTTCCGGAAATTTGCTGTGGGGTTCTCCGGGACAATCCTGCTGATATACGTTCGGTTTTGTGTATCGCGACGGGTTAGGGTGCACCTCTCTGGGCCAATTGTTTCCAGAAGCGGTGGCTGTGTGCGGCGAGGATTTCCTTCGACTGTCCATTGGTCTCGATGGCCACCTTTCGTAATGCATAGTAATGTTGAAATTTCCACGAAAATAAATTGGTGTGTAATATGATAAAGATTAAGGGTGATTTACTCGTCTGATACTTTGCCGCGAACCCGAGTCGGAGATAAGGTCGTCATTTTAATTTATCCCCCGTAACATACGCTGTATCGAGCTGAGTAACATTTTATGCATCATTACCCAGGATTTGTTTTGCTAGATCACTTTACTTTTTCATGATTTGTCCATTTATACCGCGAACGAGGTAACTGACTTGTTTAAATAACTTCAGGTAACTTGAGAATTGTCATAAACAAACTACAGGGTAGATCAATATATTCAATGCATTTCTGTAATTTCAAATCCCTTTCTAGTTCAAATCCCATCTTCGACTTTATCTACGGTCGGTATTTCAGTACAATATTAAACACCAAGTCTCGTAAGATGGTAAAGTTTAGTAATAAAATAAATAAAATTTATTATGATTATTAATATTAATATTATAAGTTTTAAGTAAAGTGCTGTGTAGTTATTATTCGAGTTGCCTTGCTTCGCTAGTTCTGCCATTCTTTACTAGATGGCAATAGAGGTACCGTTTTCCAAGAGCGCGTATATATAAAAATGATAAGACAAAAGTATTATATTGATTTATCTTAAGAAATCAAAGTACATTGGATGGAAGTGCTAGCTTCTTTTTCGCAAGAACCAGAGAGCATTCGGATGGTGTACTGTTGGGTCCTTTAGAATATATTTGTGGCTCTACTGGCAGGGGTGGTCCAAACGGACGCTCCTTTATTATGCGATTTCCTATAGTTTCGATCGTGGCATCGTATTCTGTATCCCCGGTTCTGAAATAAATAATAATAATAAAAAAATAGAAAAATACCTGCTCGTTTCTTTCTTACCGTATACGAAGAATTTCTCGTTCCTTTTGGCTCGGCTTTAAGTTATCCAGAGGTTTCTGAACTCTCTCAACGCGTAATAAATTTTCAGTGGCAATCTTCCACGGATTTCTATAGGATTTATTTTGAATCGTTTCCGATATGACCCAATCCTCTGGTAACTTTATATCTTTTCTTCTACCGTAGATCTTCACACGTGGCGAATAATCGCCTATTTTTATTAATTTTAATCACTTTGATAATTTTGTTTTTATAGGTACATTTAAATAAAATTTTCAACGAAATTAACCTTTCGAATAATCCAACTGATAGAGAGTTTGCGTAACTTCGTTCTCTTTTCTCTCGATCAACTCTTCGTTTGGGGTGGTTTCCGGAAGAAAGTCTTTCATACGGGGGTGACTATCGCGAATCTAAATATTATCAGAAATATAGGAATTTTATCAAGATATATATACAAGTGAAACTATTGCAATACGATACACACATTTGTATATCAATTTCTAGTGTAATATAATATGTTTGAGGTGCTTGAAGATATAAGGTTGAAATAATAAGTCTGGTTGTTATTTAATACGTGACACTTTGCAGTCACGATTGATAATTAATTAACTTTTAAACTTACAGATTCTATGCAAGGGTGCAAGAGACAATAAAAAAGTTAACATTAAATTGTTGCTTCTTTACTCTGTTTAAAACTTCTTGGGGATCTTCGGTCTGCTCATCCAAAGGTAAAGTCGCATTCTTTCGACGAGTGTTTAAACATTTCTTGAAAGGACCATTTAAAATGGTCAAGGGTGGAGGGTAGCTGGTTTCTTGTACATATGCTTTTCGTTTCTCGGTTTGTTTCGCTGGAAAATCCTTTCTATAAATCGTAAGGAAATCCCGAGTCTCATCTTCCAGTTCTAAGAGCATCTCTTCATTTCCCCGTAATATACATGCACCTGAAAAAATTTATTGGAGGTTAAACAAAATTTTGACGTTAATGATTGAATTTGTCTGGAAAAGAAAATGGTTTAAAGTTAGGAAACGCATCCCAGAAAAATGTATGTGAAAACTGAGGATAATGACGAAATGAAAATTAATTGCCAAAAAAAAGAAAAAAATTAATGACGTAGAAAAGCGTATAGAAAGTCGAAAGAAGAAGTCTAATGATCCTCCGATTTCTCGTGGCTCATTATGGAAACGATATAACAAGAGGCACGGCACCCTTGTGTACTATAAATGCCAATTAGGACATGACATCAAATTTCCCTGCGATAGGTGTGTCCTTGTTTATGCGACTCGCCTACGCTTTCTTCCTTTTTCGTTCTCTCTTTCTCGCTTTTTTTATCCTCCCGGCTTAAAGAGGATTGGAAAAATAGGCACCAATGGATCAATCGAATTCTGTAGCTTTTCGATACTGGTATTTTCAATCTGCATCCCTATTAATTGACCATTTCTTTTTTCTTTGTATATGACAGAAAAGGATAATTAATGCACCAAAATTTCCATAAGAATCCAGTTTAAAAATGTTAAAATTAATTCAGGTTGAAATAATAGGAAAATTATTTCATAAATTTTTATGATCTTTAATGTTTATCTAAGTTAGTGGTGTGAGTAAATATATTGATGAAAGAAGTAATTATTTTCTAATTGCAGACCAAAAGACTGAAGATGATGAGATCAACTAATTAATATATTTTACTGCAACCTACCTTTACCTGATCACTTTTACTCAGAATTAGTTTGCCTTTATCAAGCCACAAAATTGCCCCTCGCATCCTAACAATACCTCTGTGTCATAGTTCATCAGCCAGAAGAAGCAATTTGTACCCTATCCTTTTACTTCTTCACCCTCTTGTTGTTCACCCACACGCGCTGCTTTTGAACCTTTCTCGGAAGACAAATGTTTCTTCTTCCCCTTGCTTTTGTTCTTGCTTCTATGTTCCTATTCTTTGCTTTCTTCCTTCGTTCACGGGAACTCGTTTATTGGCACTGCTACGAATTTCCTCTTGAGTTTTAGTATTTTCCTACTTGCATGTACAAATATGTACTTAGCTTAAAGGGTTGGTTCGTTTTTATTTAAAATTTTCGGTGCACCGTGTTCGCGTACCGAATACTTTGCATAAAATATATTAACTGCCTTGGAGAAGCAGTATGTCGCTGATATTGCGTAAGTTAAATGGCGAACAATGCTTTGGATGATCCATAGAGCGAAATCGTTCAGTCGTAAGTGATTATTACGCATTGTTCGTCAATTATAACAAAGGCCTTCAATCGGATACATATATCCACTACACTAAACATACAGGGTGCGTCGTTTGAATGAATCCAAGCAATTTTCTTTCGAATCGTTTGGTTTTCAAACAATGTTCCATGAAATTTCAGTTATTTGGTAAATAATGATAAATAATTCATCTATCATTTATTGTCAAAATTTGATAAACTATTCTATTCTGGTTGCACCTGTTCTGTCATTAATTGTCAATTCTCAAAAACTCATTATGCACACTGTATGCAGTAAAAGGATTAAAGTCCTCGGTATTTGTGCGAACATCATTTTTAATTGCATTTATATACAATTTAATTTCTCCATTAAAAATATCGAAATCGACCCCAATATCTGAAAAAAGAACACAATTTCAGTCAGTTTTTCCCTTAAAGGTTTTAGGACTTCTCAATCCCCGTCTGAATACCTCAGATACCACACATTCATTCTTAACTGCTTAAGAAAGCACACAGTTCAGTTCTTTCCTTGAAACCCTTCAACCGTCTCAATTCTCATAGAAATGCTTGAAAATGTCACATATCTTCTGCAGACATCAGCTTCTGGAGTGATTGAAAATAAGTAGATAGAAGCGCAAGGAAAAACGTAAATCGCATTAAGGATCACATAATCAGGGTAGGCACAGCGAGGGTACCAGTTGCTCCGCAACCAGTTGCTCGTGGCAAGGGTGGTAGCCAGCCTTGCCGAGGCGGTGTACGCGGCGCATTCGGATCGGTCCTCGAAGAATCCCTCTCTCGTTTCTTCTACACCCCTTCAGGTAGCCGCGTACAACCACTGGAACAGTGTCCAGACACCACGAACGAGCGTGGAACCGAGTCTTATCCTGCTGAAGTCTCACCCTCACAACGAGATCCTCGTGGGGGCGAGTCGCCACGCCTCCTGCGTCTATATAAGCTACCACTCCGGTGTGGAAACCTCACTTGCACCCCGGCCACGGCCAGGAAAAGGTACACAATATCCACGGGAACGGTTCCACTAGCCTCGACCCCGGAACACCGACCAAGGATCAATCGTTAACAAGCAGCACGATTCGAGGAAGTCATGAAGTTCTGTTTATTGTGGTTGTTCGTTTTCCTGGTCGTCCTTGCTGATAGGACCCTAGGTAGCCCCTATATCGACGATGGTAAGTGATTCATTTACTGTTCCTTTTATGCTCTGTGCGAATTAAGGTTGAGGGATGGACGAAGAAGGACGTAGGTCACTTAAGTTTCTTTGACGGTGATAGAATGTTTGAAGTATTTTTTTGAATCCTCTTACTTGAGAATATTTTGGTATTAATCTGTTGGTTCCCAATTCAAATATGACAGACTTGTATAATCAAAAATTATTAAAAATAAGGATATACGTAATATTTCAACCTTCTTTATTTCCCTTAACATTGCAACTTTGAATAATTAGTTCCAGCTGAGAAAATTAAAATTCATGGGGTTAATGAGAATTTATACCTGTGGGTTCTGAAGGTCTCTTACGTTTGCTTATTTTCCAAAGTGATTAATGAAGCCTGCTTGAATGTTATCTGTGTAAATGTTGAATTTTTCATAAATCAAATTTTAAATATTTAAATGTTAAATATGTACATTCACTGCATGTTTAATAAATGGCACATACCAAATTCATAGAACAGTTTAAGAATACAGCTGCCTGTTTATCCAAGCTTCTATTATTATCGAAGGTGGAACGTAATTCAGTTATATGTGAATGGTTAAATGGAAACAGAAAATATCGTAATGTATTTTTAGCCGAGCGTTCGATTTTCCATTCTTATTTAGTGATTTTCATATCGGAATCGACGAGCGCGTTTAGTCGGTTGTTTCGATTGCGTTCAATCGCGTTAATTAATTAATGATTATTTGTTGGGATCAATACGATCGCAATGATAACGATCGTTTCGCGTAAATTGGACGAAAGTGCGGACGTTAAACGATTCGATGCAATTCTACTCTGCATATGTGTGAAGCATACTTTAATGTACCTGTTCATGCTATCAGAGATACTTTTTAATTATTGCAACAAATATTACATTTATATTAATCAATTCATATTTCTGCATTAAAAAATAAAGAAGTGAAACAGTGTCTTTTTTTTCAATATAAAATATACAACTTATTTTTATTACACTTTTAATTTTGGAAATGTCAATCAGAAGTGGCCTTCGCGATAGTTAAAGTGTTAAATCGTCGATAAAAGACCGAAAAGAATTTCGTACCACTCTCATGTCCAGTAGTATAACCCGTATGTGATCAGACGGCAATCGGATTTGTTGCCTTCGTACGTCCAATCGAAAGAGCAATCACTGTCACTTACTATAACATTTCTCGAGTCGATATGCTGACAGCTCTTTCTTTTTGGCATACGATCCTTTATTTAAATATTTGACAGCATATCGAAGATATTAAAATGATATAAATTTAATAAAAGTGTTCTTGAATATTAAAACAATTAAATTCGCGTGCATTCAAGAATGTTTAAAGCACGATCCTTGGGAAGGAAGAAAAATTTAATAATTGGACCTGGCGTTTAAAACTAAGGAAAATTTCGTTCATTCGCGTTTATGGGGGTTCTAAGAATATTGAAACATTGACAAAATCCCTGGGGCGGAATAACAGGAACGTGGAACGAGAAGCACAGGGAAAAGCCGGCACGTTAGATTACCTTAATCCCGAAGGTGGTTGATGAATATAACAACGAAGAAAATGAAGAAAGTCGGATAACGAATTATCACTGCGTGCTTCTTTCGCAGGATGTAAAATTATACAGGAATTTTCTCGCGAATTTACCCTTGCACAGATGATTCATAGTCATTTTTAATCATCTCGATCCACGTTAAAAAATTTAATCAATTGATGTTTTTGGTGTTACAGAGGAGGACTCCTTACAACTTGCCGATTCCGATTATACAGACAATGCATTGGAAAATTTAATGCGAGCTGCTCAACAAAAGTGAGTATTTATTGCCTTATTATATTAAATTCATGTCTCTTCCCATCCCCTCCAGAAGATTTTTATTAAACTTGCAGCTTTTTTATTCCAAAGTCGATGGACAATATTAAAAATGATTCGAAAGTTATTCGTTAGAAATTGTAGTAACTTTTTTCTGTCACAAAAATAATTTTACCTCCCTCATATCCATCTTGATGTCTCGATGTCTTCGGAAAGCATTATTCTGACACTCTTAATCTCGAGTAGACGTACCTCGTTGATTTACCTGTTTAGGAGGGCCTGCATAAGACGGGGTGGGAATTGCGACCACCGGCCGAAGGATTGCTGTTACAGTTCCAGTTGCAGATGCAATTTGTGGGGCTCGAATTGTCAATGCCAACGGATGGGTCTCTTCCAGAAGTGGGGCTAAACGTGTCCTCCGATTTCTCCTTTATTTCGTCAACAATGTTTCCCTTAGCACGCGACAACTTGTCTTGCACGATTCGATATGATTTTCTTATCCTTCGATTATTTAAACAAATATTTTCAAAACCGATCAATGATCTTCCGTACAAATATCTAACACTTTCACTGAAATTCTACACGACACGACTAGATCTAATTGTAAGTGGATTTCATTTGTAAACTAGTGAAAGCTGTAATCATCGAGCGGGATATTTTGTTTGTAAAATCATCAGCATCAGAATATATATTATAGAACGATGATTTCATTTCACTTTCTTCTTCCCATTATTTTCGGGGATGTTTAAGGAATCTACCTCCTTCGTTTATAACATTCTTTTGCAGTTTTAGTTTAAGTATTTAATTATATTTTTACTCCTATCAATTATAGTATACTTCGAGGCCTTGCGCAATCTGTCATTTGTGAACAGATATAAACCCCATCGATGCGGTGCACGATAAGAATAAAGCCGAAAGAACGCTAGTTACCTTTCTCGATGTTCGCTTGATTTTTTGTAAGAAACACCAGCCGAACTGCGAAAGCGAATCGAAAAATGAAATATACAGCGGCGCACGTTAAAGAACCCGATTTTTCTTTCACGTAATACTAATAACGTACATAAGTTCAAACGAACAGCGCAACGATAAAGTATAAAAGTTACTCGAATGAATGCCTAACGCGAAGAAATAAGAGTTTCTAATTGAAAATTCAATTTCTCCTTTTGTTCAGCTATTCAGCGATTATTTAACCCGAGTTCGATGTTGGCGAGTGTTTTAGCGGTAATTGAAGCTTTGCGACTGATTTATTTATTCACCTGGAAATTTCTTTTCGTGAAACATTTGTGTAATCGTGAATCGTGTCTGTCACGGATTGGACTTGATCGTCAGGGATAAAATTGTATAAAATTAGCGTAGAGAAAGCGTGGAGAAATTACTCGTACGAACATTAATCTCTTGGTCAAGCTCGATTCTTACTGGTGATTTAAACCGTCATCTTCTACGATCAAGCGATGAAAAATTGGTGATTTATCGGAAGGAAAATATGAAAAAAATTTATGGATATACCGTCCTTTGATTGGGATTTCTCCTAGCCACTTTTTCTCAATCAGACGTCGGTGTTTCCTCGACTCAATCGCTATCGAGAATGATCACGGTTCGTCCCGTAAAATCATTGAAATTTGCTGAATCGTCTCTTGGGACACGCGGTCTCAGATATTAGGAAAATGTCTCTTATTAAATTTTAAACGCACCTAAGTGTATGCATTACAATAATGTATGTTATCGTATCGTATTGGAAGGTGGATGTACATGTACCGATATATTATATGGAAATATAATATATATTATATATGTGACGACAAGTTAATTTTCTCATCCAATTTCTGTTTTTCTTTGCGACACTTTTGTTTTCTTCGAATTTTTAATCGAGAAAAAAAATGAGACAATTGGTGAAACACGAATAGGAAGGCGAATGAACAAGAGGATCTGATCAGTCACGAGTTTAAACTCGAGCAGAACACGAGAAGAAGAGGTTTGCCTTAAATCTGCTCGCGACCTCTCAGAACGACCCAGCGATGGTACATACCATGGATCGAGTGGGTCGAGTAACTGGATCGTAACGTTTCACTTCTATCTCAATGTGTATGCTCGCAGGACATCGTTGGTAGGATCCGTGTCCACGAAAGTAGGAAGTCGAATCGCGATCGAACGAAGATGTATCCAGCCAGATCCCGATCTTACGGCCGCGGTAGAAGAAGGTTAAACGAGTTAACCTCGACGAATCTATGGTCGACTCTGGCTCGTAAATAATCTCTCTTCGTGGTAATGAAACGTGTGACCACCTCGGGTGTCCGGGATTATTCGGGAATCTCTGCTGGCTGTTGCCATAACGAGCGAAACTTTACTCGAGAGTTAACTGAATTCTCAGTTGTTCTAAATGCCTTCGGGGGAGGAAAATTGTTGGGTCGGACAGGAAAACTCGTAGAACTTTCAGTTTTATTTCCGAAGAAATTCTTTACCCTTAGCAAGAATTAAATACATCTAAATAATTTCATACAAATTAATTAGCAACGCCGTTGACACAGGGCGAGTAACATTTTTCATCGCGTAAGTTTCAACGTTTTATTAGACACGGGTCAATTGGTTTTCCAGGTCGTGTCGCCTCGTGCAATTAAGAAGCTAGTGTGATCTAGTTAGGAAAAATAAAATACTCTTCGTGGTGACGAAATCCTAAGTCTTAATATGATCTGCTTTACGTGTGCTGATACATTATTTGCTCAATGCTTATTTCGAGCATTTATAAAGTCGAAAACCATGCGAATGTAAATTGTTAGTTAATACATCAGCGACGAATGGGATTTCAATGAAATTGTAGACTCTTTTTGAAAAAAGGTATATATCTGATGTTGAGATACAATGCTCCACCTACGTTATATTACCAGGGGTTCGTTAATTAGAAACTGACGTCATTGGCTGAATGCTATATTTGCAATTCGTAGTCACCCGAAAATTGGATTAGCGTTTATGTAACGAATAATAAATTCCGACAGCATGGTTAATACCATATTATTGATGATTACTATGAGGTACCTATACTGGTGACCAATATTATCGAATAATTGAAACGTGACGATCATTATGATAAGCATAAAATTCTATAAAAAAGAGTAACAATAGGAACATTTATCACTATAATATATCATCCCACCTACCTGGTTGTACCCTACTTTCTCCTATTCAATTCTGCCAGTTAGTTACCAGACAATTTTTGCCAATTACATGATGTTTTACAATAAAAATGAGGGGATAAAGGTCAGAATCACTGTCAGAAGGTTCGATGACACCGACATAGAACGAACTACAATCTGTGGATCACGTTTTGCACGAAGTTCGAGTTCAACGAACCATGCTTCGATCTCCTACGGCGTCTATCTGTTTCGGTGTTCCATTCTGAAGGCAGCGAAAGGTCAGAAGGGTTGTGACAGAAGATAACCCTGCCAAAGGGACAGACTTATTGTTTGCTAACCGATTTACTTTGCCCCCAAGTGATCCTCGATCGACTTTCGTCTTGTGAAGAAGTGTCGATATCCTTTTTCCATTGCGTTTTAATATTTAACTTGAAAAAATTGTTGAATTTTAAAAAGAAAAGGAGTACAATCTATGTAACGCTGTAGGGACGCTTTACGAGAGTAATTAATGAGTAGCAATTAATTATTTCAAAGTACTACACTTTCAGTAGAGAGCTAGGTAACAGTGGTATTTTTGTGAAAGTCAGTCGGACATGGTCATGCTTTGTCGTAAACGTTTTAATTACATCCCTTTGTTCTCCCAGGCATTTCCTCTTATCCGCGCGGATAATCTCGACCTTTCAAGTTCAGTGACCCGACGGTGAACCATAAATCAAAGGTGGTTTGTATTCGCTATTGAGCGTGGTAACACCTCTTCCAGTATGAACCTGACATCAAGGTTATATCTTTCATTTTGTAGGAATATTCAGTCGGTTTAATCTCAAGTGTGAAAGAAGCTTAGGTGAAGGATAAAGAAAGGATAAACTTTTGTCACAATGATTCATAACAATTTGATAGATTTTCAAAGGATCGCTTTTATGGGGTTTCGCATTTGTTCCTGAAGGTTTAATACCAATCAAAGGTCAGAATATCCATTGGCCAGGAACAGTACGGATAATCCAGAACTACTGGCTCGAAATAACAGGGTTTCTCTTACGTAACCGCGTGTACCTTCGCGTTTCACGAGTATCCCTCTCTTAAAGTTACGAGTAACCGACTGTACTCTTTGGCCAGATCCATGGGATTTATCTTCCATGAATCCATTCGACCGTTATCGTTCGATCGAACACGTGCTGCAAAACTGTACGGCACGAGTTAACGGTGATTCGCTTTCGAACGTGTGGCATCGTAGGCGGCCATAAAGTCGCAGCTTTGCTAAATCGATTTTCGACGGGGGTTGCGAATACGAGAAGCTTCAACTGGTTCGAGGTCGTCTTTGTGATACCCCTGAATCCAGCGGTGCTTGAATTCCCCTTGTCTTGCCGTATTGTTGCGTAAGATCACTATACGAGAGTGCAACGGGTAACCTTGAAGAGCCTCGAGTTAGCTTACGCCTCCGCGTCGTGTCGTTTCCTACGAATACTCCAGTACCACCGTCCCTCCATAATACAGACCGACGATCAAGTTCCCGGATTAATATTAAGAATACTTTTATAAATATTATTGTTCGGTTTAAAAAGAATATAAAGTAGCCACGGAACTTTTTAGGAAATTTTCTAAACTGATCCAAAGAAGAAGGAAGAAAGTCGAGTAGCAAACTAAACAGACATCTCTCTGTTTGAGTAGCTGTTGAGAATACCGAAGTCGCCTAACATTTTTCACCCATGGACCCGTTGAATATAAAATGAGCGCGGAGGCGTGAGAGATCGTCGAAACCTTCTTACGGTGTTGCGAAAGGGGAAAGTTAGAATAAATTCCAGATAAGCCCGGAATCAATTGTGTTCAACGAGGTCGGTTGGATTTTAATTTTAGCTTGGTACTTAAAATTACGATTTTGAATTACTGGCGTTTTTAATTAATCAGAATTTTACAGTCATTATTGGTGACAAGGAAAATGACTTATGCGACTGTGCAAATATTTGTACAGAATTTTTTTTCGAAGCAATACCTGATATTCCTTATCAGGAATTCTAAGTACAGTACTCTGAAATATCGTTGTTACCAGGGAAACCATAATTTCAGTAAGATACTATACCGCATTCCACCACGCCTTTGTCGTGCCGATGAATGAACGTTATCATTAGTTAATTTAGTACACGAAGCGTAATCTGTAGGCATCTACATAGGAATTGTGTTACACGTTTATTTATGCGAGAATATTAATTAATTTATCCGTAACGCGTATGTATGTCCTAGGTTGCTATTAAAATCATACATCGGTCTCCAAATAGTATTTAACATTTACATTACATTTCTGACGGTAATGAATTTTTGATAAATATAGTAATAATTTAAATTTAGTTTCAAGTTTTCGAAACGGTAGGTAATGTAATATGAAACAGCGGATACCTTATTAGCCGAGTTGTACCGTTTTATTGGTACATTATATGATAATTTTAATTAGAGCTAAAGTCGAACGGAAATTCCTCACGGTGCAAATAGGCAGAGAAAGAGGATAGAGATTACGGTTGGCGCATTAAGGCAGAAGTGTTTAAGGAGGTGCTCGACTAATGTATCTGATATTAATAACGATACCACCGAGTATTTTGCTCACGTTAACTTTTCAAGTATTTTGCATTACGCGCGCGTATCAGTGCGTTTCCTTTTTATTGTGTGCAAAATATGTGAACATCGTTACACTTCCGTGATTATATATTCACGCGTCACGTTATTTTTGTGTCTGTTAAAGTTTACGCGACAAAACCAGTTTCTAAAGGTCGAAGGAATCTTGAAATAGATGAAAATATTTTAAACGTCTAGCTAATGGCTTTCAACACGTAACAGGTGTTAGCATTGGCGTAACTAGGGATATTGTCTAGGGTTCCCTAGCTTCATTAACGAAAGAGTGTCAAGTAACTCGGCTGCTCTTGATCTAGTTATCTATTGGAAATTTTTGTAATACTATTTTCTGATGTATTATAAGGGTGTACTTACATTGATTTATCGAATGACAACTTCAGTGGTATGTAAAGCACATTCATAAAATATGACATGTACATACATCTTAGCTTCCTCGTTCTTTTACCTGGTGCATCCTTCTTTCATTCGCGAAGGACGATATAAATTTGCGATGTCAAGCCTTTATTATCCTCTAAACTTCTCAAGCTAACATCACGAAACATTTTGCGTCATCTGCAGTCGTCATTATGTAAATACCGCAATACTAAATGGTCACTTATATTTCTTACGTTTCATGCGCTTAAAAGGTATGGAAAATTATTTCATATTGTTCGCTTGTCCTTATAATTATTTTTTACATTACCAAATTAATGATAATTTAAAAAGAAAAAAATATAAATCATTAATTAATTCAATGCATCAAAAGCATCACATTCCAAGAATGCAATTGTAACGGACATACTACGGTGGCATGAAAGCGTACGACAGTAAATGCAAATTCAGGCGTAGAGGGAGTAAGAGAAGAAGAAAGATAAACAAAGAAAGTGATTGAGGTAGGAAGGAAGAAAGAGAGAGCGCGTACGAGTGAAAGGAGGGGAAGCCGCGGCGGCGAGAAGCATTCGAGTCAGCTTGACGATGCCGGTCGCCTCAGTATGCCGCGCAACGCGCAGGCTCGCGTATGCGTATTGTTTCTCTTTGTTCTGCTCTCTCTTGCTCTCTTCTCTTCCCCTGTTTTCCTTCTCGCTCTTTCTCCCACTGTTTCCTACGTAGGCAGCGCGGTTAGAATACGCAAGTACAAACATCTCGTGGCTCGCTGTTTTCGCGTTTACGTGTCATCGTTGTTCTATCAACATTTTTTTCCTTGTGCGAACCTTCGCGTAGCAGGAAAATTCGAGGGAAAATTCCGGTTTCGTTGTGTTACGTTTCTGTGTTACTAAGCGAATGCGCCGGTAGACTCACGGTTGATGAACAATCTGTTATCGACGAAGTGCATACACGCGTAACGTTGTGACACACTGACACGGTGCGTAAGGTTAATAGTGAACAAGAGTGCAGCACAGCAGAAAAAGGTGGCGTGACAGAGCGGGAAAATTCGACGTGTTCCATGGATTTTGAAAGAGTTTTACACACGTCGAACGTACAGCGAAGGACGGTCTTAACGAAGACCTAATGTGGATACTGTAAGCTGACAAGACGCAGTGAGTGGCAAGAAACGGTTACGAAACGCGTGGAAGGAGACGTGGCACGAAATGAAGCGAGCGTATCCCCGTACGATCGATAACTATAGCACCTTGGTAAATATCAAGCGGTTCGTATTTCCACCGCGCACCGAACCTAACCTACCGAACTACCTGTGCTCGAGCCTCGTACCTTCGTTAACACGATCGAAGTTGTCCACTGTTTCTTCGACCCGTTCGACGAGGATGTCGTGAAAGTACAATATTTTCTCTACGCTCGTAGCGACGTAGAAACATCCAGAGCCGAAGAATGAAAAGCTTCGAATCGTTCAGGAAGTAACATTTCCCAGTGCGCCATCTTAATTCGTTCGTAAATCGTGATGACAGGTGGTGAAGGTGATCGTTGATCGAGGACCGCGGCCGATTCGATCGGTCGTGATCTAACGTTCGATTAAATGTAGTGCGGGCGCGCGTGTAACGTTCACGGTACTCCCCGGAAGATTGGCACACTGTAACGTATGAGGAGACAGAAAATTACAAGAGTCGAATGGAGCAACGAAGGAGAGAGAATCCGAGGCGCTTTTATTTTTAGCCGGTTCGTACATCGCAAAAACCGGTTCCCGAGTTTCAGCTCGAGCCGAGCCACGAGGTAAGGTGCGTATATTCGCGAGAAGGGTTTTAGTCGAAAAGGTAGGAAGCGAGAGGGAAGGGCACACGATATAAAGGTGTAGGCATACATATATCTCTCTATCGGCCACGAAAGAAAGAAAGAGTGACACGAAACATGGAATTCGCCTAAGCCGATATACCTCTCCCTACTTCTTTCTTCTCCCACTTCGACCTATCGATTGCGTGTATGCACGCGCCTATCCATACTCGAAGTTGTACGTGACATCGGGAGTGTACGAGATTCGATTATCGGTTGCGTCGTCGACGCTATGTCCGTCGCCGATGTAATTAGCCACTCTTGTTGCACGTACCCAGATACCGGCAGACTGTAACAGTTTCTCCATTCTATCTAACGAAGTACGGGCATATAGTGCGTACGTGACAGCGAAGAAAAGGGACAGAACGAAAGGAAATAAAGCATATAGTGTTTCTCGAATTGTTGCGTGTGTCACGGTAAGAAGATCTACGAAGACACGAGAACGGTATGAAGAATGGCAACCGATTCGAGCAACCGGCAAGGCGTAAGGGCGGTCGCCACGACGACAACCGATCCGCAACGAAGCGAAAAGCGCGCCGTCGCGGCGCGAGGCGCCGCCGGTGCTCTGGCCCTAAGTATTCTGGCCGTGGTCCTCCAATCGGCAGCCACCGCGACCCCCACCTGGGGATACTTCACCAATCCTGACGGTGAGTCATGCTTTTGAAATTCTTCTCATCCAGCCCGCGTATTTCCTCGATCCACCGCGATGATGCGCGGATCCGCATTGCTCGACGACATTGCGCGTGTCACGACTTTCTCGCGGCCAGATTGCGGCTAGCTCGAGTTCACGGTTATGATATTGATTACCTATTGATTTCTTTCATTACCTGTGTCAGGTATAATGACACTTTAGAAACGACGATTAAAATATCATCGATATTTGCGTTAATAAAAAGCTTAATCTAAGTTATTAGATTATTATTTACAATATTTTCTCTTGCAATTTAAATTTCATATTTATATGTTTATGAACTAAAAACATGTTAAGTAACAGTGGAACATTAGCAAATTGCCATAGACAAATATCGAATAATTTTAAGGCAGACGCAGTCCGATTGTTATTGATATAAACTTGTTACGTACGTCTGGCACAAAAGGTGATAATAAGTCGGGTACACAAATACAGCAGTAGAAGTTAAATACTGTTGCTTGTTTAAGCGCAACTGAGTAAAACACGAGTTGCGTAAACTAATGCGGTTACTTTGTGGTTCCTATTACATAATTTACATGGAAATGTCAGCAACGTGACTTTTAACAGTTACTCGCCACCGTGATTACCGATGGTATATTTAAAACCATTACGAAGTTTCTTAATCCTTAAATATATCATAATAGTGCATGGTTTTCATAATAGTTAAATCGAAACGCTCCTTTGCATCTGTTTCTTATTTAAGCGTTACAAGGGCAACCGTAACAGCTGTGTGTAGTCTTCGTGTACAGACTGTAAGTTACTTAAAGACTTCTTTATCGGTAAAATGTCGATAGAATTTATTTCATTCATCAAGAATTCGTAGCAGCAAAACCGTATGTTTTGTTTTCTTCAGATAGGAGTCTAGCTTGACCTATGTAATTCAGAACACGACTTCCTGTATATCGAGTCAATTAATTCCGTCAGGTTGTTTTTGCAGTAGCTACATGTTCCATCTTTCATCGTTTGTTTGTTTTCAACTTGTTTCTCCTTAAATAATGTTATAGGTTAACTCTTTTATTTATCCAATTGATCAAACATTCGTATAGCTGTTTAATGTATTAACAATATTGTTTTCTTCGGGCAATTTAAGAAAATTAACGATTTCATAAGATAAGAGAGAATTCCAAGAATTTTCAAATCAACAAACATTAAAAAGTGCTTAGTTTAGAGAAACGTTATTTAAATTGATAAATTACTCAAAGACTTATATAGATTACATACACGGCAGGGTATTTTTCGTCCCACGTTATTTATTACCTCGTCAGTTTTCGTTTTCAACAACACTGTTATCTAACTGAACACGTGTCCTTTAATTAATGTAGGATTACAAGAGATAAATATCAAGTCTAGGTATAATTAGATACGATTCGAAGGCAGACCATTATTCATATGAAATAATGCCATATAAATTCATATCGCGTTTACATTATTTTGTTCGGGATATCTTTTCAACCGGAATAAGAATTCAATTGTCTGCTTACTTGTGGTTTTTACGTTCTTGAAACAACGAAGCAAAAAGTTCATTGTTATTCCCCTCGTTCATTATTTCCATGCATTTTATGAAACAGCGAAGAATTGTTCAATGTCAGAATTTGTATTTGGTACACGTGTAGTACAAGTCCATATATGTATGTACTATGTAGCTGTTTGTTTTGGACGGTCAAGAATCATGGAATAAACGTGTAAATAAGGTATATATTTAGGTGATCGATGCTTAGATAAACAGGGTTCCATTGTATCGGACTACGGCAAAGAATACAATGGATGTCGATAACCCTTCGGCACTTTCACGTGTACAAGCTCGTTGGTTGCTCAAAAACGGATTCAAAAATGTTATCGGTTAATCGCTTTTCACGCTCCGTTGTTCCAGCTATGTTTTTTCCTCCGTTGCTCGATAACCGTTGCATCCGTTAACACGAATATCCAATTGCAAGTGCATTCTAATTATGCAACCCACGAGTTTGACGCTGAATAAGCTTTTCGCCCATTGAAATAATTACTTATATATCCTTCTTCAATTTTATTGAAAAAAATTCGAGACACCCAGTAGAGTGTACACGAGCACATCGACACGGTTGCAGGCGTATACAATACGCGTATGCAGTTTAACGCGATGCATCGTACATTGGCATCGGTCGATGTTGATGCGTTCCTTTCATAAAGAGCCTTCGTAAAGCGGAATGCAGTTTATAGAGTGGCGTGGATTGCGGTTTGCGATCAAACGGAACGATTCATATACTTTTTAATTCTGTTAGCTAGTTGGAACATCAATTTCATATTAGAGAAAAGAAACCGAATATTTGAAAAAATATCTAGGGTATTAGGTATTGTATAAAATAACATTCTTCTTCTCACGTTACGGTATTAAAACTGTACCGAAAGTTTCTATTCTATTTACTATGCTTTCTCAAAGCTTCCTCTAACAACGAGAAGTTACGAGGGTCTTAAATAACGGATATTACTCGACTATCAACATGTTGAAAAAACAGGATTTCTCCATAAATAATGTGTTAGTTAGGTAATAAATAGATTTAGTATCCTTTGTGTCGATAGTACACACTTGTGACCGATGAATGCAGCAAGAATGAAAACGGTATGCGTGACCCTAGCAGGTGGTTACTACGATACGCTACCTGTGATAAATACGTCTGTGAACACACCTGTGTTTGTGTACCGATACGTGTGTGAATGAGTGGCACAGGTGCGTAGCTACTCGTAAGGCCTCTTTCATTAAGGAATAATACAACATTCGTGATTCTCTGATATTAGCCTTTTCTTTCTACAATGAAAATATTTCATTGAAATGGAAACTTTTCCGAATCCTAATTTCATTTCTGTATACAATTAATTAAGTACCTACATTTCAGTTGATTTATTTCGTTTCATTCATCCTATTGTTGCTTTACACTTACACGCTCTCTTTTCGCAACAAAGTTCACAGGTTAACGCTACGCGAGCATTAAAATGCTAATTGCATCCTGAGAAAGGATCCACGAGATTAACACGGATATTCCGCGCCTAATCGCGTATCATCGTTTCATTAAAACTGGAAAGTAAAAGATAAAGCCGCCTCGTTAGACAAGAATGGAATTGTGCAACAATGAGAGAAAACGTACGATTTCCAGAGAAATGGGTTAGCTGATTTCGCATCCTTTTATGACTGTTACGATTGTCGATGCCTGTTCATCGATCCTGTTCCTTAACATATGTAGAAACATAGAAACTTTCCACCGTATATCGTGATTCTCGATTCTAAAACCGTGGTTTTGAATACTGTTACTCGCGTTATTCGCGTCGTGCATAATGCGGTTGCGTTACAATAAAAGCAGCCAACTACCGTTCGTTCGTGGTCTTCTGGATTGTAATTAAAACTTGCTACAATGCGGAGCAATAAACCTTGGCGCACGGTCTTACTTGTCTAATGAAGATAATTGTTGAACGTTGATTAGCCATCGAATAAAAAGAATGTTTAATTACACGGAAGTAACTTGGGTCGAAGTAAAAATTAGTTTATCGATCTTTCAAAATTCTTTGATCGAACGATAATTATCGAAAGCAACGAGTGAACGAGATTTCCATTAGGGTATCTTTTCCTATTCATTAGCAAGCGTGAAAAACACACTGAAAACGTTATTCCTATTAAAGAAGCACAACGGTGCGCAAGTACATACACCAGGTACACGCAGTCATTGGCCAGGTGGGACTAGCAGGTTCGCAGGTGTTTGGATACTATTACGCACTCACACATTAGTGAATCAGGTAACGTGACGAGGATCCAGCAGCGTAGAATTCTCATGTGCGTGTGTAACAAAAATGATAATCAGCACCTGAGAAACAGGAGCTACCGGAAGGGTGCGCGATTGGGGGTGATAAGGTTCGCGTTAGCACGAACACTTTCCGACATTTTTCGTCGGAAACTTGAGTTATATGTAATACTTTCAGATTTTTAAATGTAGAAAATGGAACCATGTAAGTACAGTACAAGGATAAGTTTCTGAATGGCCTCACCAAAATTGAGAACTCAGCTTCGGTATATAACTTAAATTGACAACCAGAAACCGATTAAAATTGGTTTCAGAGCTGAATGTTTTACCGTTTTTGAGATATCGTGGTAAGGTTAGGATAGGTTAGATTAAGGTTCTATGTATGCGCAGTATCGAATAGTATATACTACAGTATTGAAAAGCGCACGCGCAGTGTTGAATAGCGCATGCCCAGTATTGAAAAGCGCATGCGCAGTATCGAATAGCGCATGCGCAGTATCGAATAGCGCATACATAGTCCCAAAATTGTACAAAAACTTCTTACCACGATATCTCAAAAACAGTAAGACATCCAGCTTTGAAACCAACTTTAATCGGTTTCTTGTAGTCGATTTAGGTTATATTTCGATCCTGAGTTCTCAATTTTGGTGGGGTCATTCGGAAACAGCCCAGTACAGCTCGGGCGAAGAAAAACCTCGGTTAATTATGCTTATTTATATTTATGGCATAACATAATTTAATTGTTTCTGGAAAGAGTAAAATAAGAGCAGGGGCGTTTCCGACAGAGATTTATATGGCAGCAAATTATCGAATAGTTTACTGTACTTCATTTTTCTTCATACACCTCGACCTTGAGACGAAAAATAACGAGTTTGCCAGGAAGGGATTTTAAGTCTCGTGATTACAAGTTGAAGCGTGGAAAGTGAAAATACAATGAGGATGGTCGTTTACACCGTGTCTCGGTTAGTTAGCGTGGCGAGGTGATCGAGATTACGTACACGGAGGGTGCTATTCGATCTTTGCGGGAAGCAGACAGAACTGGTGTAAGAAGTAGGTTAATGGATTCGATGAAAGATCGTGTAGAACGGTGGTAGTAAACGTGGAAGACCGGTTGGGAAAAGATGAACGGGCATAACGTGAAACGATCGTAAGCGTGGAAAAACAAGAAGGAGGAGCTCGTCGCAGGCTGACG